GCTCAGAGATGTGTATAAGAGACAGGTGCTTAGTTCTTGTATTCTTTGTTTAGTTTATTGTCTCGTATATTCCATCTGTTTGGGATATATACGGCATTTTTAGCGCGTGGGATTTATGTAGTATAGACATAGTACAGACGCTCTATTATTTATTTATAAATATAAAAATGAATAATAATACCTGATAATACGCCCTTTATAATACATTAATCATAACATTCATGTATGTATATACTAATTATGTATATACTTATTCATAATCTGTAATAAGTTCTACGTTCTTTATTTATTTATTAATGCAAATTACGTTGTCAATTCACGTGTAATTCACTATTATTATTTAGATTATTTGTATATTTTTCGAGTCATTTATCCCACTCATGAGTAGTATAACCCACCCCTATTTTTATAAGGCAAAAATGCAAGGGTTTAAAGAATATTCTTTTTTAAAATATAAAAAATAAATAATTTGGATACCTAATATTTTTTTATAATAGTAAGCAGTATAAAGTTTTTACTGGCATAGTTTATTTAACTTAAACTTAATAGATAATATCTGATAAATTAAGTTTTTAATAGGTGCGGCGTATATACAGGGTTTACTCTATAGCCCCATCTACATAAATCGCAAACGCAAACGCAAACGCAAACGCGGAGAAAAAAAAGGAACGTCAAAAAAAAAGAAAGAGAAAAACGTCCGCGTTTGCGTTTTGCATTTGTGACTTATGTAGATGGGGCTTATTATCGCGTCAAGTTACAATTACTGTACGAATGATTAGCGTTAGGAATTCTAGCTTAGTGTGTTCATATCATTGTGATTGAATGAATCACACTGATGGAAGAAAAAAAAGTGCTTACGTCTATCTAATTATTAATGCAATGTAAGGCAGAAAAAGCGTAAGTATAAGCACGATTTAATATAAATATATGTTTTAATTTATTCTAACGTTTACGTTAATAGCCGTGAGCGCTTATCATTTATTTCTGCTTCTTTGCAGTTCCGGTCTTAAGTGCTTACGTCTCATTCTGTGTCAGCCTCATTTTAATCGGCTCAGTTGTGTGGAATGGCTTATTTTTGAAAACTCAAGTAATTTTAAAATAATGAAAATTTTCAGTTTTTATGCCGCATTTTATTCTACGTAGCCCCAAAATTAACGCATTATTTTTTAATGATAGTTTTTTTACTAGATTGAAATTAATTTTTTTTTAACAAAATTATTCAAAAGTGTAAATAATTAATAAGGGTTCATTTTTTAAATTAATTTTTATGATGAATGTTGGGGCTATAGATGATTTAGAGATACTTTTTAATTGTTACTAATTCCTCGGATAACGTTGTTTAAAACAATAAATTCCTATAAGATTTCCGAAATTAAAAATATAGTAATGAAAAAAGGCAATGGGAATCAGCGTGGTTAGTAATACGCAGTTTAATATTAAAACAAAGAGTTTTATTCTCACATATTATATATTTCAAACGTTTTGGCTCATTTGCTCAGCTATCTTCAGTGAATATAAAGTAAATCATGGTTTCTCGCTTAATCATGTATTTATTAATCATGAAAATGTGCGTATCCTACTACAATCGGTTGATGAGGGAATTGCCAAATTCTTCTCTAATATCGTCCAAGCACTTGAAAAGCTGGATGTATTGTATAGCCTCCGGTACAATAGAACGCACAACATCGCAACATTATGAAATAATACGTCAAAATATAAAATTATAAGTAAAACTGTACAGGTCATGGTCAAAAGGATTTAAATAAGACACTTAATGCTATAGATTTGCATTCGTCAAGAACTAAAAGTCTAATCATTGAAATATATGTGAGAGTGAAACTCTTTGTTTTAATAATATTAAACTGCGTATTACTAACCACGCTGATTTCCATTGCCTTCTTTATTGTTAATTTATTTAAATTGTGAGAAAATTGCGATTCGACTATCTTGGAAAATATATTGCAAAATGGCGGATGTGTTTTATTATTAGCAACACGAGGACTTTGCGATCTTATAATCACTAAATCTTTTCAGTATTGAGAGGATGAAAAAATGTATCTCTGTTGCGTTACAGATATATTATAAAGTCCTTAATATAATAGATGATTGAAATAATAATAATAATAATGCTAGAAAATATTTAATTATTTGGTTATTTAAATTTTTTGGCGATTTATATTTTTTTCGATATAACCGGTACTTTCTCTCCCGCATTTGAATGTTTTTTGACTTACTAATAAAGAAAAAAAGCGCTAAGCACTCGTTAACAAATTGAAGAACTCCGTTACAGAATATAAATTTTGCGTTATTTTTTTACTGTTCTTCTAACAATACTATTTTAAATTTATCTGAGCAGTCTCGATTTTTTTACTGGTACTTCTGACTAGAAAAGAATCAGTAAAAATGCGAAAAATATCACTGTAAATTATGGTTGTTTGTAACATGAGGAATCAAATAAACGATATGTATGATTCAAGACCTTTGATCCGATTTCGCTGAAATTTCGAAAAAAAAAGAGAAAATTTTATTTTGTAATCTAGTTTTTCGAATATTTACAAAACTTAATTTATTCGACAACGATTAGCTATCAGTACACCACAAGCAAACACTGCAGTACAGGCGATTACTCGAGCTCGGAGACTGTACTGGACCGAAGAGGAGGGTCGTCTGGGTTACTCCCAAGTGAACGACGGTATAAAGGGGACCGCACGTAAGACTCGTACGCACTAAACGTACGATTGAGAAAGAGGGAGAGACTGTGAGAGACTCGCTGAGGGAGCGTAGAATCGGCGAGTGCGGCACATTTTCCCGTTCTCCGAAAATTTTCCACTCGCGTCTCAAAGTGACCGGCGATCTCGGCGGGAGCGATTTTTCATTTGACTCTCGTCGCATTCGTTCGTCGAGTTTTCTTTCGCGGACACAGAGGGAATAATTGTGAAAAGTGATCCCCGCGATTTTTCGACGCGACGTCTCGTCGTTCGCGCAGACGTCCCGCCGGAGTCTCGCTCGGTTTGATGCATCCCTCATACAGCTGACAACAGAGACGTACTTTACATAGAAGGTACGTTATATGGAAATATCAAATAAATAAAATTGAATTAAATTGATAGAAATTAACAATAAATTTAAATCTATAATTTAAATATTTTTAATACATACTCTCTGTTCCTTTTTTTGTTTTCAATTTTTCTTTTAATTTTAAATTAATTTAAAATAAAGTTACATTTATAAATTGTTTCGTGATATACTTAGGTAATGTTTGGATTTAGGAGAGCTTTTTCAATGTGACAATTTAAATATAACGGGAATTAGTTTTGAGTGTTTCAAGTGTTCAGAGCGTGTTATCGAATACATTCAATTTCCTTCTTGCACTTTCTCTATTAATGAAGTATTCGGTGGTCACGTGCAGTTGCTCTCCTAGCTCAATTCGCGATCTAATCACGCGGATTCTTTTCCGGAATCCTTCCCAAATTTCCGCGAATTTATATCGTTTTCTCGGAAGGATTTCCGAACAGAACCGATTCTCTCTTCAAGCGAGACACTTTCTTATCGAGTTAGATCGAATATCATCTTCGTTCCGATCAAGTTTGCCTTGCGCGCCTCGAATTTTTGAGTTACATAATTATTACGTAACAATTATTATATAACAATAAATATCGGTAATGAATCATTGAAAAGATATATATATTCACGCCTGGTACAATTCTGTAATCTCCTGCTTCAAGCCTCCCTACAAGGTTGTACCAGTCATCATTCGTACGGACAATTCCGATGAATTTCTCTGTTGAAAACCTGTTTATGAGATCGAGTCGGAAACAGTCGATAAAAATCGCATTTTCCCCGTGAAATCATTCGCTGATCTTTTCTCTCGTGACTCTGTCGTCAATTGCTGGAGCAGGTTAAATATTTTGCATTTGTGACAATATTTTATCTATTTCGGCGTTATGTAGATACGAAACTTCCGCTCGAATGTTTTCATTTTTATCTGCTCATCAAACGATAGCAATTTCTTGTATCGCCGAAAAAGGTTCGATTAAGATAAAATATTATCACAAATGCAAAATATTTAACCTGCTCCAGCAATTGACGACAGAGTTACGAGAGAAAAGATCAGCGAATGATTTCACGGGGAAAATGCGATTTTTATCGACTGTTTCCGACTGCATGTCTTGTTTACGCGTCCAATCTATTTTTGACATAAGTTTTTAGAATCTTTTATCAATCTACGTTATATCATTTATTCAGAGCAGTCGCTGTTACAATTATTAAAAGAGATAAACACACGTACTTTTTCAATCGAAGATCACGAAATTAGTGATCTATAATTATGTAATGAATCTTATCGACACAGATACTATTGCATTTAGCGTATATTTGTATATTTTGTAGTTTTTCTGTATGAAAACGGGAATTTGCTTTCAATTTTTTTCCATTGAGGTGAAAATAAAATCAACAAAGATATTGTTTAGTCGTAGTTATATGTAATTGCATAATCTCGTGTTATCTTTATCAGGAGACGCGGATCAGGTAACGCCTCCCGCCAAGTATATTTTTTTGCTACATAATTTTTTTGCTACGATCAGAAGACGTTTTTTGTACTGACAGAGACGTTACAGTGTATCCTTTACCGGACGAATAACGTTTCTGTAGGAATAAATTATTATACCTTTTAATTATAGTTTATGATTTACATATGTGTTACACAGGCACATCTTCCAGATGCACGTGTACGATAATATAGTGGTGTTTCCATCGCAGCGTTGCTTCAGATATAAATTGTGCGTAGGATGCAATCAGTCCCTCTTCGAATGTTTACTCAATAAATCAATATAATAATGTTACGCAAAATTAATCGAACTTTTTTAATTTTTTATAACACTGAAAATCGATGACCATTTTTGCAAGGTCGAAACTTATGTTGCTTATTTTTTATTGTATTGACTCAGAATGATTTATAATACGACTATTTATTTACTCTTTTACATTATATTAACCTGGCTTTGCTCTTCTTCGTTTATTTTTATTGAATATTATTCGTTTGGACTTTTAGCTTTATTTTATTTAAATTTCAATATAAAAATAAGCTTCAATAGCTCAAAGTTGGAAATTGTACATACGTTCGATGTCGTACACACGTACGAGATTTTCGTTATTTACATAAATGATAAAATCGATATCTCTTTAATAACAAAATTTAGACAGTAAAAAAAATATGCGGACTCGTAGCGTTTATATATGTAAGATAAGTGAATAAATTTTACAATGTCGATTGTGCGCGAAATAATTTATTGTCCCCTGCGATAAAAGAGTTGTTTAATTACAAAAAATAGGGGAGTACAGCGTAATTTGGTCAACTAAAAAAAAAAAAAAAAAAAATTAACAAAAGTTAGCAAAAATTAACACTTCAATCAGCTCTATGTCTCATCAAAAGTGAGCTAATACAATGACAATTTAATGACATAAACAACTGTCTAGTGCGAACACTACGAACTGCAGCGCTCAAAAAATGTTGTTGATCAAATTACGCTACTTTAACCTTACTTATTAAACGCTTATTACCATTAACATTATATTATAGAATTATTTTACAAATTATTATCTCGATCATTTATTTACAAAACATTTAATAATCAAGAAGAATTTAATAATCAAGTATTTTATTTTTATATTATTAAATATTTTATTATTATAAGTAATAGCATATGAACTCTATTAATTATGGTTTTAAATAATTTCTAATATAAATTTTTACGCTTTTGTAGATCTATAGATATAACTAATAACTGAGTGATTATTTCAACATGTTCCACATCGTGTGAATTTCAATTTGTTAGGAAATAAAAGGGAATAAGGAACAAAAAATTGAACATCAGGCAAAAATCAGAATAGGACGAAAAATCTCATTATCTGTCTTTGACTTTTGCTTAAATTTAAATATTCGATTTCTTGTTCCTTTTATTGTGTCTGAGCCCTTATAGATATAATATTATAAGAGAAGGCGCTTTCTTTCTCTGCATTATTATATAAACAAGAAATAGCAAAGATATATTTATTAAATAATATAAAGAAAGTTTCAAAAAAAGGTTTTTAATAATTTAAATTTTTAATAATTTAATAATTTAATTTAAGTATCAAAAAAGGTTATAAGTCATTGCGAAATTATGCATGACATGCTGTGACAGGTAATTATTTCTTATGTATTATCTTATCATAAGATATAATTTTATTTGTTTTTCTACAAAATAAAAATTGACGTGAGCAGTGATCCACAATAAAAAAAATTGATTGTGGATCACGTTTAGATTACAATGAGTACAACTTATAAAATTTGCAACTAGCAATTGCAATGTGTAAGAGTACCTAAATTTCATAATTTATACTTACGTCTTTTTATATCTCTGTTTATGTGTCGATTGGTGACAGTGACAATTTCAAATACAATTTAATAATATATAATATTATATATATTAAAGTTTTAAATACACTTTATATATTACATTTTAATTTTGACTTTAATTACGACTTTCATCTTTATCTTTATGGGAATTTTATTATTTCCTTTATCTTTCTCAATAAAGAGTTGATACCGAATTTCTCATTACAAACAAAATTACTTAAATCGTGATTTACTTTGAAAGTTTAAAACTTTCAAAATTCATGATTTCATACTTGTTCACAAAATGTACATATATCATAATACGCTCGACTATTGAATTAAAAAAGCGATATAAAGTGAAAAGCAGTATGTTCTTTCGTAATTGTATAGAGAACAATGTCTCAATACACAATGTTATTTGTTACGTTTAATAATTTTAAACAATTATTTTTATTTAAATCATAATATTCAATGGAATGGTTATTTTTGTAGTTCACTTTAATCAAAATTGATGTTTATAATTTTCCTATACGAATACTATGATACGATTACGTTATGTGCAGATATACTTAAACAAGTGGGCGTGATTAATTGATCAATACGAAATAGCTACATCAACGAGAAATTAGAATTCGCGTTAGCAAACTATTAATGTTATAATTAATGCGATCGAGATACTACAGAACGTTTCTATATGCGCTTGATGAAACATTCATTGTTATATTTGCCTATCTAAGAATATTAGAATGCATTAAAAAATTGCATAATTGAGTAATTGAGTTATCGCCACTTGATCTGTGTTTCTACTGTTGACTGTTAGTAATTAATAATTAACATTGTACAGCCAATTATTATCTGTTATCAATTAGTTATGTAATTAATTGTTTAATAAAAAGTAATTACAAGTGTTGAAAAAAATATAGATTTGAGCTTGAGAATTATTTTTTATTAGAAATTATGAATCTTGTTAGAAGTAATCAATACAAGCGCTGAAAAAAATATACAGATTTGAGCTAAAGAATGAATTTTTATTAGAAATTGTGAAGGAAAGATATGGAAAATATTGTTGTGTTATTCGAAGGGTGATGAGAGAAATAAGTTTATTGACAAGGACACTTAACAAAATAGCTTTTAATCGGTGAAACGCATGGGAGTATACTCAATTGTTGATTGAACCTCAGCGTTAACCAGATAACGTAAATTAATGATTCTGCGTACTTTGTTTTCGAACTTGCCATGAAATATACGCATGCTTTATGAATGATGTTTATTCATATCTTTATTTAATAGGTGATAAGTTTTATAACATATAATGAATGACTGTCCGATATTATGAAGAAGGAAAATAACACATATACACACTTTGTGATAACAATCCGATTAAGCGAGCTGCATTGTACATTTGTAATTATATTTTTTTAAATTTATTGTAAAAGCATATGATCTGCTTTGTTTGAACTGATTTTCATGAATTCTCGTTGTTTTAGAATACTATATTAAATTTAATTCTTTATTATTTTTAGTTTTATTTTAAAAGTCAAGGAATAAATTACGTAACAGTATATTTCCCATTTCCATGCTCATATTTTAAAACTTGTTTTTCAAATTTAAAACTTGGTTGTAAGCCCTTTTCGTAGTTCTCGTCAGTTATTTAAGCTTATTTTTATATGTTTTTATATGTTTTTATATGTTTAGAAAAGGAAGATTTCAAGATCATCGAAGTTATTTAACAATGTTTCAATAACTTTGATGCGTGATCTTTAATTGTTGAATTTTTTTTTAAACATATGACGCTTGTATTTGACGAGAACCACGAAAAAGGATTACAGCCAAGTTAGTTCAAAATACTCATGATAATTTTACGATTCTACCTACTACATTAAAGAAGATCCAAATTAGGATTGAAATATACTTTTTATTTTAATATTACTTACTAGTAAATTACATTAATTTTATATATGCATTAATAACGGCGGAGGCTCGCATAGACACATATGTTTATTGATTTATTCGTAGGAACCATTTTATGTTTATATTTTTAATTTATATTAATAAATGTGATTATTTTTAAAAATTATGTACATATAAATTAAATAATTATTACGGTAAATTAGATGGTATCAAATTAGATAAGAACATATTTTATGCTTCTAAAAAAAGTAGAAAAACGCAAGTTTAAGTAATTGAGATGGTATTAATATCGTTTAATAATTTTTCTTTTTTTTTTGTCTTCGTGATTCGTTCTGTAATTGAACATCTTTATCTTGTGAGTCAATACGTTTATAGGAAGAATAACGGAGAAAAATGTCCATGGATTTTACTGAGAAGGAAATAACTGCGGCCGTCATGCAAATACGAGTAAGGTGCTAATAGCATCGGTAAATTCACGGTGAATAGCGTTAAATTTACTGCTTGCACCGCATAAACAAACGGTACCGGTTATACGTTTATACGATCGCGATAAATTAAATTGGATCATCGAAAACTTGATTATAAGTTATTCACGAAATCAATTCAGTTTGGTTATATGCATAAAAATGAATCATTAATGAATGATAAAAGACCATATTACAAATGAAAAAAGAGAGTTTGTATTAGGACCAGTTCCTCTCTCTCTCTCTACTTTTTTTCATGCCTGCTTAAATAATAATACTAATAAATAATTCTATTGAATAATAATACTAATGAACTTGATGCAATAAAGTGTTAAATTGCAAATAAAACAAATTTAGATATGCAAGGGAGCAACTGGAGAATTAATTATCTCTCGTTCCTTTTTCAAGATTACTCCTTAAAGTACTGACCTTTTCTAAGAAAGAAAAGAGTGCAGAAAGATTTGATGCGATAGTCACACAATAGACATATTCAATTAGTCTGACAGCCGCCTTGAATGTAATTGATAATCTTGACCTTTGTTTTATTAATTATATTCCCGATTTAGCTAATAACTGAATGGTTTTGCATTCATTTCAGGATTCAGCTCAGTCAAGGTAACGAAGAAAAAAAACTTAAAGCGACAAGAATCGGGTCATAGCCATGAAGTCCGCAATCGCGCTACAGCAGTTTAAAAGTGAGTAATCTCTAATTTGCAATGTGAGGACGTATGAGTCGAATCATTTAACAATAACGGTGATAATTATCGTTATTTGAATTTGGAATATTTAACATACCACTCTACCCAAGCAGAACAGCAAGTCACGATATCGTCAAAATAACTCGATCAAAAACGTGTCTTTTAATAATCATTTTAACGTTATTTTGATATTATTTTTATATCATGATGACTTGTTCTGCGAGTGTATGTAAATGCAAAAATATATGTATATGTGCACAATTTGTATGGATTTTTTTTATCAATATGTCCATTCAAATATCTTGAAAATTTAATTTAAGCTTCGTTACTTGGCAATTATATAAATAATTAAATATATATATAGACATATAATTTATAAATATAGCTAAATTCATTATGCTCTTTCACTAAAATAATTAATGAAAATAAGAAGAACAATAGAAAAAAATGTATTTCACATAAATATTGCATTTTTTAAATAAATCAGTATCATATTTTGCATGCGAAAATATGTACTTTTTTCCGCATCGATCTATAAAAAAACCTTCGGCGAATAATCTTCAAGATTGTTCAATCTTTATTGTTTGGAGATTTATTGTTTGATCAAATTAAAAATTTTGAATGAGAACCTGGACGAGTGACCCTGATTGATCCTCTTTTTACTTAACCACAGATAACGCGCAATCCAAGTCAAGGTAAGCTGCTTATCTATCAGATGTTACTTCAAGGTATGCGATCCGTATACCTATGTATCTACATTTAAATTTTACTAAAGGCATCTGCTATTTATAAATTTTTAATTAAATGTAGCTGCAATATTTCCTAAATTTTCAAGAGAATCGAATTTAAATATACACACGTAAGCTCATTTCACCATTTCACAACTGGTAACAAATGTTTGCGTAAGAGTTGCGAGTAACTTTTTCCACAGTAAAATCTCTTTCAAGGTTTATTCCAAGGTTGTTGTCCTCAATATGTTTTATATATGGTCCATTTAATTCAATTATTTTTAATTTTTTTCATTATTCAATTAAATTTTATGTCATTCATTTAAAGCGGTATTATTATAATATAAATAATTGACATTTTTCATGGGTAGAACATGATGATCACTTGAAGAATAAAACGCTTTTTTAATAGCAATCTAAGATTTCTAAGATTTAATCGTTGTTAACAAGTTTTTCTAAAAATTTAGAAAATAATTTTTTTAAACCTAAGTTTATTTCACTTTTTCTGAAAAATTCTTTAACTTTTTTTTTTTAAATTTTAGGGAATTCCGTAATTTGTCCTGTTTTATTCATCGAGCGATGATTAGTGCTGAAAATACGTAGAGTGCCGGAAACGACAATTCGGCATTGATAGCATTTCAACGTAAAAGAGATGTATTCCGTAGATTTGCAAATTAGGCATATGCTTTAAAATATGATTCTCGGAAAGATAAGGGGATATTTGCGATACTTGTACATATGTGAATAGAGAATCGTTATTTGATATTCGTTAGTATACCGTTAGTTGAAGGATACGATACAACATTATGAGATTTTTTCGTATATTATAACTAATTGTAAGTGGTATATTATTGAATACGTATCTCATTCATAAGCAATAACAATAAATCCAAATTTTTCTAACTAGACATCACAGACGCTACAGACTTGTTATTTGATATTTATTAGTTGATGGATACGATACGACTTACGAGATCCTTTCGGTATTGTAATTATAAGCTGTTGAATATATCTCGTTCATAAGTAATAACAATAAATCAAAAATTTTCGAATTAGGTTGTGTTCCAAAATTCATTGCCAGCACTGAAAATCTATAGTTTACGTTACGTGCATTATAAATTTTTAGCACTGGAAATTTTGGAACACTGCCTTAATTAATAAAAATAACAAAAGAATGACGATCGATGGTACATACATTGCAACTGAAAACTAGAACACAATCATATTTCTATAAATAATAGAATAATGGTTACGCATATAATTATAAACCATTTTAAAATTTATAAAAGTATTTATCAAATTTTAGATATTTTCGAATATATTTATTAATACTTTTTAAGATTTCAAAATTTTAAAACAGTGCACAAAAATAATAAGTACATCAATATACAGAGAGAATATAATTTTCTTTTAAAAATAGCAAAGCTTTAACAATTTAATATAATACTTATAATAATATAAGTAGTTAATTGGTCTACGTTTAAACTTGTGAAATCTTTACGGATAAGAGATTAGTTTAATCTTCTAATTTTTATAAATAAATTAAATTTTATTGACAAAAGAATTTATCAATCGACATTAATATTCTTATATTTTCTAATCTTGTTTTATCTAATAAGGATATTAATATGTTTTCCGTAACATTAAAATGTAAAGTCTTCCTAATTTGATTTTAAAATTAAAATCACAGTCCAGAGAAATGGAGAATATCCATTCAAATTAACAAGTCCTTATATTTCACTGTCTCTTTTTTCCCTCCGGGAACTAATAGTTCCGGGAATTTACTGAGGGGAATTACTCGAACGGTCTAGGACATTGAACGCTTATTGACAAATCGACGGCCTTAAGGCATGAAAGATTGCATGTGGTCAATGAGTCGTGCGTACACGCACACGCGGACAGGCGAAATGACGGTATCGAGCCGAATTCCGTTCGAATAATCCGCCTTCTTTCACGCGAGATTGGGCGAAGTCGAAGGTGAATGGTAGGCAAATACGCACTGAAAGGCATCGCATTTTGACACGTACTGGAAGCGCGAAGTGGTAAACAGAGATTTGTCAAAGATGTCTAATATTTCTTCACAAATGTCGTATTTAATCGTATATCGATTTGTATACCGAAAACCAGTCGTATAATGCAATAATGCAGACGCTTCAAGTGTTTACTTCATTCTAAGTTATTTGATCAAGGGAATTCATAGTCCCACGTCACAGGAATGAATAATCGATAAATCGCTTGTACGGAGAAAAAAGTACTATATCACATTTCAAACATCTTTCCGCCTTATGTTTGTCTCGTGTTTCATTTGTCAGTAATAAAAAAATTACGATTTATGTTCACTTATGGTTCATTTATAATTGAGACAATAAATATTGCTCGTATCGGTGTAAATTATATTCTTTAGCGCCGAGACACGAACGTGCCTCACCATTGATCAATAAAGATGTTTCATGTTTGACACAGTAGCGGAGTAGTCGTAGTCGTTATAGATACATATCATGAATTAATAGATGTGATAAGATGACACGTAGAATCTTTTGCTGGTCTATTTAGGATAAACCGACACTTCAGATCGAACATTATACTTGAATAGATAATCCGATTTCTTTTTCAACGAAAAAAACCTGGAAATTTTTTATCCTAAATAGACCAGCAAAAGATTCTACGTGTCTTATCACATCTATTAATTCATGATATGTATCTATAACGACTACAACTAATCAAACAGTGTAATAAATATTACACTGAAAAAAATTTCCAGGTTTTTTCCGTTGAAAAAGAAATCGGATTATCTATTCAAGTATGATGTTAGATCTGAAGTGTTGGTTTATCCTATGAAATTATAACGGAAAAAAATTTCCTGATTTTTTTTTTCTTTGAAAAAGATCGGATTATTCGTTCAAGTATAATATTCGATCTATAGTTGTCGGTTTATCCTATGAAATTTTAACGGATAAACATTTGGCGGCTTATTTTTTATCTACATTTTATCGGAAATTACATTCCTATGAAATTTTCAAATCAATAAAGCCCTTCCTTTTCACAAGCAGCGCTGCACTGCTCTTGCAGTTTGCTATTGGCAGCGATTAACGCTACACTTTCCTCACTATGCTTCGTATGCCCCAAAAAGAATTCTTTGTCGAAAAATTCTGAAAAAGAATTCTTCTTGCATCTAAAAATAAACTCAGAACCGATGATATACGATTAAATATAAGAATAAACCCTTTTTTTAAACTTCTTAACAGGGATATAAATACATTTTTAATAAAAAAAAAAGTTATTATGCTTAAAAAAATGTGCGTTTGTACGAATACTTGTAGATAATGGTTATTTATCTTATTCGTATTTTATTATCCAATCAAAATGTATTCGATTGCAAAAAAGACATTTTAATATATTATCGACTCTCGAAAATCGATATGCAAATTTAATTGGAATTTTACGTAGGTAGTATTATTCGCGACAGCATAAACATTATAAGTCGTGATTGCTAAAGAAAATGTTTTCTCTTTTTTTTAGAATGCATCATCTTATTTATAATAGGCATCGGATGTAGTTCCTTAACATATATGATTTACATCATCGATCCTATAACCATGATATTGGAATATGTAAGTATCTATGAATATGGAAAAATGCAGAAACTAGTAGAAGCAAATAAAGAAATCTGTACAAAACAAAGAAAAAGATTTTAATTGGAAGGAGATATTAAAATAAAGATGTTTTATTTTGAATAAAACATTTTTAATTCTTTTTCCAGATTAAAATGCTACATAATTAACATAATAAAAGTATGTTTTACAGGGGAAAACTCACAAAGCAGAAATGTTCAAAATATATTGTAGGGATACTATAAAGATATATTTGGGATATAATATTTTAGAATATTGCCATGATGTATTTCGAATATTTCTGCTATACGGGGGAGTTCTAAATTATTATATATTAATTTCAAATAATTCAATCACTTTCAAACGTTAATATTTTACTTTTAATAAAAAAAAAGGTTTCGGAATCTCATTTTTTAAAATTATGAATAATATATTATCTATTTTATATAACATGTATGTTACAGTAAATCATTATAGAAATCTTCTAAAATAATTATTAATATTTAAATAATTATTTTATTTTATAAATTGCAAATGCAAAATATATATTTCGAATAAAATATATTAATGTAAAACGTGATTTTACAGAACCTACAAATGTCACCGCACTCATTACTCTTTACAATATGGAAGAAACCACCTCTTGACATTTATTTAAATGTATATATATTTAACATTACCAATCCAGAAGAATTTCTAAGCGGTAAAGAGAAGCTTAAAGTCGAAGAAATAGGGCCATATGTGTATCAGTAAGCATGTTTTACATTTTCTTATTTTTATTATTTTAAGATTATGTTATTCATGCAGGCGTATTGCGAATAAAATGTTTTGTATACTATTATTTAATGCCTTACATGCAAATAATTCTTTTAGTACAATAAGTGTATGTTGGAAATTCTATGTGTTTTCAGAGAATTTGTTGTGCACGATAACATCACGTATAACGATAACGGCACTATGACTTACATTCCCAGAAGGACGGTAGTTTATGTTCCCGAGAAGTCAGTCGATGATCCTATGATGAACATAGTTAACGTTCCAAATGTACCTCTCTTGGTAAGCGTAATAAATTATAATAGCGTAATTAATTATTAATCAACGTAACAAATTGATATAATAAATTATTATTTATGTATTTACATCGATCCTATAAAGATTAATTCGATGTATAATAAAAAAAAATGCCAGTCGGTTTTTTTAATAAATTCCGAATTTTGTAAAACATATTTATCAACATTTCTGAGTTATCGCCAGTAGAATAGCTACTTAATACAATATAAAGATAAGCATACAAACTTGTTAAAAACTTTTCTCTTCTTTCTTTTTAATAGTTATAAGAAAAATTGCTCGTATGTATAAGAATTTAAAAGAAATAAAGGCCAATAAACGAGCCAAAATTTAGGTAATAAAACACTAAATATATTCTTTATTAATCTGTAAAATTGACAAGATGGCTCATATTGGCTTACACATAACCATCTCAATAATAATTAAATTACATGGAGAACGCATATTAATTAAAAACAATAGAGGTGCATTTTACATTTGTTACAGAACGTTATACAAAACGAATAAATAAAGGACATTTACATATTTTTGACATAAAGCAATATATAAAGCTGATTTAAAACACGATGGTTATAGATCGGAGTCAAGTAATGAAAAGAGACGAAACAGATTCATTGTTATCATACGAGAAAAAATAGAAAATGCACTGAAAGTAAAATTATTTACTTTAAAGCAAAGCATAAAGAAAAAGTTTGTCTTTTCGAAATTTTTTCTCCTGTTAAGAAAAAATCCAATCCAGACGATTCAAATATATGTTATTAATATTTGTATTCCTGTAATTTCAGAATATATTCAAATTTCTTTGCAATGTTTTGAATATTTTATTACGGTTTTGTGGTTAAACCGATGATGTATATATTTTAATCATTAATAAAAAAAATAAGCAACTTTTTATCTTTGTGATCAAAATTGAAATAATTTTCATTTTATTTTTTTTATTTTAGACATACTATTAGTTTTTATCTGCAGACGTGACGTTTGCATTATTTTACGTTAATAAATTATTCATTGATTCTATTACAGCCGCTATAGAAAAACAACTTGTAAATAATTTATGCATAAGTTATGCATAATTTTTTCATTAATTATACATTATTGCTGATATCGTTCTTGAGAAACGTATTAGTCACTATTGTTACGATGATCTTTGTTCGACATAATAAATGATAAGATGAACGTGATCTCGAATCATAAAGCAAAAAGTTGTTTTTTCCTTTAGCACAAGAAAATCTGAAAGATAGAATACAGTTTTTCAGTTTCAGATATTTTTGTTGACAGAAATACATTTACGTTTAATTTTGCAATTAATTAAATTTAATATTTAAGATTATTTTAAATAATTTATTACAAACGCAAAACTATTCTGACGCAGGGTGTCTCATCCGCTTTGAGTAATGCTGGATTTATAGTGAACTTTCCTTTGATACAACTGGCTAATGTATTGAATTCGAAACCGATTCTCAATATCTCGGTACACGAATATTTGTGGGGTTACGAGGATCCATTGATAAAATTGGCCGGTGGAATCGTGCCGAATTTTATTAACTTCATAAAATTCGGCCTCTTGGACAGGGTGAGTAAATCGACTTCTACTTCTCAAATGATACCGAAATGTATAACCTTATAAAAAAATTATTGAGAAATAATTAAGAACAATAATTGAGAGCAAAATTGAGAACACGTGTACATGTATTTGCTTAAACACTTAATAATTTAATGTCTCGTCTTGATCTTATATGCTGGATAGTTTTTATATTGATATCTATGCAAAACTTTTTTTTCGATTTCTTGCAAAGTGTATTACGATGAAAGAAAAAGATAGATGATTTGTTTAATAAAAATGCTTACCATTGCTAAGATAAGTAAATTCGCAAAAAAAACATTATCTTCAATTTTTTCTGTGTTATTTTATATGAGATGATGATATTTGTATAGATAGAGTCGATGATAATAATACATTTGAAGTATTTTCTGTCGTAAATAGTGGAAAATTATTACTTAAACTTTATCCATTTGCATCATCAAGAAATGACTTTTTAATACTTATTTATTTATTTTATTTTTATTATTTATTCAAATTTATCTGTGGCAATGTATACAAAGTTGACGTTTATTACGTTATTAAGTCTCTTCGGTCATCAATTACTGGTGTTTCCCAAGCGTTAGGAAGTCTAGAAATTCAGGAGGAGAACTTCGAAATACGTATACTTATCCGGCGACGTAGGAAGAAGAAAAAACTCTTTAGGTACAGTTATATCATTTAACCAGTTTGGAGTATAATATTGGTCAATCAATGAATTTATTGCGGCCTAGTTCTTATCGACAGAATTAATCGTAGGCATATAAAAACGTGGCGCACTTTGACAAAACCGGACGTGGACGTTATAGCTTCGCCGCGAAGGGCGCTTGCTTTCGAACGCGCACGCGTTGCAGAAAGCAGCTGGAAAAGTACCGAAAGTGAAGTGTCAGGGCGAAATCCAGGAGGAAAGGGGAAGGGGTGCGTTTTAATTAATCATACGAACACCCGGTGCTCATTCGCGATTACTAAATCATCAGGACAAACTGGTTAGGATTCAGACGCGTTTCTCTGTCGAACGCGCTTAACGCACGCACGGTCCTGTACAGAATGTGTCAGCACTCAGCAACCATTTGTCATTATATCTGACCTTTGAATTGAAAAACGTCTACTTATAACATTATTATGATAATTTATTTCGTCTCGTAACGTAGAATGAAGCAGATAAAAAAAGAAGTGATTGATAGTGAATCTCAATTATTGGCACTGCGATCATCGATCGGTTATTAAAGGATCATCGATAATATCGCGCTACGTATTGTCGAAGACTGGAGAGACACTCGCAAGTTTTGGCACGAAAAGGAACCGGTTTCTCTCAGTGCACGACTTGACCTTCGTATGTAACGTCACCGTGATATTTAAGAATTTTTTTTGTTTTTTTTCGATGCTTGGACCCAAGCAGTAATGTGAAATTATCCGATCGAATTTTACTGGTGGCAAGAAAATTTCGACATAACTTGTTTGAACTCCACGTCGTGCACGAATTCACTCAAGCGCACGCATTCTCTATGCACGATTAGCTCCTATATAACATTAACTCTCTCACTCTTTTTCTCTTCCTCTTTCTTTCTTTCCCTCTATTTTTCTGCTACATGTAAATATATATTGCACCTGAATAATCGTTTTTGTATAAATTAGCAGGTAATTTAAAAACACACGGAAAATATTTGAAATAATTTCAATCGCATTTTGCTCTTCTTGAATTAGACATTAATTTTGTAATATCAGTTTATCGAAATTCAGATTAAATATTACTAAAGATTTATTATAATTTAATTTTTTTTTTAAAAGAGCTCTTCCTATTTTTATTATTTTAATTATTATTTAATTTTTGTTACTTTAATTTTTTTATTATTACCAAAATTTGGCAATTCCATAATACGCGTTTCCATCTAGCTCGGTGTTTCTTCATATTAACTTATAAAGATTTGTAGTAAAGAATAAAGAGGTTTTGAAATGTCTTCTTATTTCTACCATATTTCTTTTATACATTATATGTAACAAGCAGAGTTGAGAAGTAACTTGTAATGTCGTTGTTGTTATTATTACTGTTCTCTGATAACGATTATTTTTCTCCATCTGTAATGATAATAGTAACGTCGTTTCATTTTTACTGTAACGATAATAGTACGTCGTTTCATTTTTCAGTCTTTTACTTTACGTTACTTTTATAATTGTTCTTTTAGTTTCCTGCAATCTTTGTACCTTATATATTCAATACATATAACGTGAACTACCGATTTTCGATATTGGCAATAAATATAAACATTGCATTGCATTCTTAAAAACGAAATTAATGTTTAAAAACAATATTTAATAAAAATTGTCGATAAAAAAATGTGCGCGTTTATGAATTGCAATCTAAATTTTTATAAAGATAAGTACACTAAAAGATAAAGATATCAATATAAGAAATTATTAGATAAATTTAATATAAAGGAAACTTTGCTATATAGTTTGGAGTTTAAAATTTTAATATTAATTTTTAAATAATATAGTTTTCAAATATAATATACTTTATACTTTAGCATTACAAAAAAGTATAAGTAACGGTAACGCATTACTTTTTTAAATTAATAACGAAATGGTAACGAGTTACTTTTCTCGTAAAGTAATGGTGAGGATAATGTGATATACCTTTTTACGGTAATGTTCCCAACCCTAGTAATAAATAGTATTATTTGATTAATCTATGGTACAACCCTGATCGTGATTATGCGACAGTGCGCGCGAAAGCAAATGGTATACAGTGTCGCGGACCCGTGTGTCTTGAATAGTCGTCGTTTTTCGCAACTGCGAGCCGCTGATCCTTTCACTATTTACACATGTTTCAGGGTTCACGAGGTTAGTGTTAACGACTTTAAGAACTGCATGGTCCCAAGGGATACGCATAATTTCTGCACTTATCTTTCCCTCGTCGCATTAATAATTCAAATAGCGCGCTTATAATAAATAACGTTTAACAAGATTATTGCTTATTTATGAGGTCATAAAAATTACATATACGGAGTATTTTTAACAGAATTTATCACAAAATTTGAATAAAATCGTTATGAAGATTTAACTGGATTGCGCATTGCAAAACACATACATATATTATGATAATAGTAATAAATCACGTTAAAAACGATAAAAGGATTTATTAAATATTTTGTTTTTCTATATATAAATGCTTTGATATTATAAATCATGGTAATAAATAATGGCAAATTTAATATAACGCAGGAGTCTTATTATTTAAAAATTTTGTTTATAAATTGTCTTTATATCAAACTCTAAATTACTACATTTTAATATTTTAACGAATCTTATTTGTATGTATATGTTCTACATTTTATTAGCTTTGAAAGAAATTTTGCAAATTTATTGTATCTATATGATTGAAAATTATTATATTTTAAAATTTATTATAAATATAATAAATTTATTATAAATATAATAAATATAATATTATAAATATAATAAATTTATTATAAATATAATAAATTTTATATTAATATAATAATAAAATATTTTTAATCCAACTAGTATACAGCGTTCAAAAAGAAATCATTCGTATATTCAATCGTATGTCATCAATTCTGAGTTTATTTTTAGGTGCAAAAAGAATTCTTTTTAAAAATTTTTTAAAATAAAATTAGTTAACTCCCGAAATTGTCAAATAATACAAAAAAAAGAAAGAAACAAGGCTAATGGGAGTTATAGCGCGGTAAGTAAAGCGCAAAACAATTTGATAGTGTTATAAATTGTTTATTAAATACTTGTTTATTAAATACTTGTTGATCCATGGACGTTTCGATTCAATTTTGATCATCTTCAGCAATTAATGGAATAATGACCTTGACGCTTTCGAGATAATGAATAAGCGTAATTTCTTAAAGTAGTGACTTGCCCTCTCAATATAACACTGTATCGTTGATGCCTGGTTGGTAATTCCAGTAATAACGACTTGTCGAAACATTTGCCAGGTCAAAGTCCAGAAACGTAAGACTTGATAATTAAATATAAGAAATCAATCGCACTTCGCAAGTCAGTTGAACGGAAAGCGACATGTCAACCATGTAACAGTTAAAAGTAAAATGATGATGGAAACATTTTTTTTCATCTGAAAATGAACTCAAAATTGAAACTGATTGTGAGTTCTTTTTGAACTCTCTGTGCTATCTGAAAACATATATTACATTAATTTACAAACAGATAATAAATTCTTCAATACTGGAAGTGAAAGAACTTCGTAAAAGCGCGATAAAAATATATTTTATTTACTATATACTATAATTATACTAATGATTCTAATGAACTTTAAAATGAATTAATTACTAATCGTTCGAAAGTTATTTCGCTATTACACTTATAATCGCGCATTTAACCTATTGCGCTATCCATAATCACGACCTAATGACCTGTCAATTTCGAATAAGTCGATATGTTTCTTATTTTTCTTTGGTTCTGATTAATTCTGGATAATGTGTATAAATGCGTCACACATACGTTTAGTTTTTTTAGACATTTTTAATGCAACGTAACTCGCAGAAAAAAAATTTTTTAAACAAAGATTAAACAAATAAATAGATTATATTATTTACGAAAGAAATAATGTGTTTAAAAAATTTCTAATAATAATAATAATAATAATAATAATAAAACTGACAAATTTTAGTATAAATTTACGAAAATTTATGTTTATATTATTGACAGATGTACGACGAAGGAGAGAACATCGTGACGATGATTGTTCAGAAGAACGCCGACATGAGAAAAGAGAATGGGCGATATCTCAGTATCGACAAGTACAATGGCAGCCCCGGAATGGCACAATGGGGATATGTCGAGACGGAGGGCAACGAGACGCGAAAAGAGTAAGGACAAAAGTTTTAATGATCGTAAAAAAGTGTGAAAAAGTACGTTTTTTCCCTTAAACGGACAGATGACAAATTTTACTCGAACGTTTCATCGTTTGAGTAAAATTTTCCGTTATTTAGTAAGTACTTACACACAATTAAGGTAGAATACATAGAAAACGTATTTTCATGTGGCAAAAGGTGCTAAGTGACATTTTAAGAGTATCGTAAAATGTATACTTTTGTTAAAAATTAAACAACGCGCTAAATTGAAACACCTTTAAAAGTGTAAATCATTAATGCAAACGCAAATAACACTATGGAAGCTAAATATTGTTTCCAAAAGCATTAGAAATGCCGGCGTATCCGGAAGCCGCCATATATTTCCGCGTCAATTCGTGCAATCTTTTCCTTGATAAGTTCTCAGTATTCTTCAACTCGTCGCAACAATAAATTCATTTTTAATTCTCTCACTAAAAACAAATCTTAGTAATGTGACTATTGACGATAACGTTAATTTAATTTTAATACGCAAACAATGTTATGTTTTATATTTAATGATTGGAGAAAAATTTCTTTATGCCTTGTCTCGATATGTAGAAAAAAAAATAGAAACAATTATTTATATTTGAAGTTTAAAATAATAATCAGATATTTAATCTCAGCATATATTACAATTGGATTTTGTAAAAATTACCCGAAGAATTAAGAAGCAATTTAATAAAAAATAGAATAGTTAAAATTTCAATTATTTATTTAAATGAATAAATTTTCAGTTATTTAATGTTTCAATTATCTCTATAAGTTTTAATGGCGCAATCTAAATAACATATTTTTTTCCGTTTTAGAAATACAGTTTGTAACAGGCTTCAAGGTTCCACGGAAGGTATCGTATTCCCGTCGCACATAGACAAGCACGCAACTTTTAGGATCTTCAGGAAAGCGTTTTGCCGACCGTTACCGATTCAATTCAGGAAAGAGGTTTGGTTGGATAACGGTCTACCTGGGTATCTCTACACCCTCACGGACGATTTCGCCGATCCGCCCGATCAGAACCCGGACAACGAATGCTATTGCCGCAAGATGAAGACCTGTCTGAAGAAAGGGTTGACAGACGTAACACCGTGTTACTACAGTACGTATCCTGCCGAGCGAAGCCAAAGACGGAAAGTCTGAAATGTTTACATGACTCCTCCTTACTTCCTGCAGTGTTTCTCATTATAATCATAATTACGGCTAAAATTATAATTAATAAATATTATAATCATAAATTATATAATAGTATAATTAATATAATCATAATTAAATTTAAATTTATCGCATTTAAATATCGTGCAATATAAATTATGCGTGTTTATATTTTTTTTCGCAGAGATGTGTTTGACATTGTGATGTAATTCACTGATAAAATGATGAGTATTTTATCATTACAGTGATAAGGCATAACTTATGAAACTGTAATTTAGCTTGTACAGTTCCATTACGATTACGTAATATTGCCATACAGACTCATGAGTTCACATCGCGTGGCCTTGCTTCTGCAGGTCATTTGCCTTGAGTTCCGCCGTACATTATCATAATTTTGATATTTTCTTGCTCAGTGTCGATAGCCATGAACACGTAATCTTATTTCCAAGACGACGTCGTGTTTGGTCGCAATTAAGAAACTTCATAAATAATTTATTTCCCTGGTTCAGATATCCCGGCGGCGGTGTCGCTCCCGCATTTCCTCGACGCCGATCCGAGTCTGCTGGAAAATGTGGAAGGTCTCAAGCCCGATCGAGAGAAGCATGAGTCTTACGTAATACTACAAAATGTAAATAAGATTGTATTCGAAATAGAAATGTCATTTAAAATATATAATTTTGCATTATTTTTTAAAGATGTACATATATCGCGAAAATCATTCTCTTCAAGAACGATATTGTTAAAAAAAGAAAAATTCGCGCGAGTTATTGACATATATTGGACTGGCGGTAAATATTGAAGATCATGATTGGGATAGACAGACTCACAGTACCAGTTACATTCTTGTATAATTAGGATTAGATAAGTCTTACGCACGGATTATTCAATCGCTACAGAATTTCTTAGAATTTCTCACACGAAGAACACGTTTGAAAGTGGTCTATTTCAATATTATCTAACGTCCATATAATGATGACATGAAAATGTAGCGATACCAAGAGTTTCTCTGAAAGAATTAGATTCTAATTGCACGCGCGCTATTCACGCTAATGTATTTCAGATCATCGAAAGTTTTTTCACAAAATAAAGTAAAGCGTGATCAATTAGTGTTTTTACAAAGTAAATTACGAAAGGTATTTTTATAAGTAAAAGAACTGAAATTATCGAAAAAAAAAAAATTATTTCTTTTTTAAATAAAATAAAATAATTTATTTTATTTTATGAGTAAAAATGACAAATTCTAACGTTTTCAAAATTTTCTAACGTTTGTTTAGGTATGTAAACTTAATCACGAGCTAATAAATAAATATTATTTTCGCGTCCTTCCAGACGGTCGGTGTGCCCATATTCTTCCACTCTAGAATGCAGACGAATCTGGTAATGCAACACACACGCTTCAATTCTAAAATTGCGGCATTCAATGGCATCACAATACCCTTATTTTGGTCCGATTTGGTGAGTAATCAGCAACTTTGCTACAGACATAGAAAGATCTACTTCGTCTGTAAAAGTTATGTATGTCGATTATATATCTTTCTACTTTCTCTAATTCGTTTCTTTTTTGTACTTATAACTAGCCATAAGTTGCTGAGCAGTGTTATCATTTTCATCACGTTTTCACGAAAAGATTACTCCATTTCGAATTTGCGGATTGATAATGCAATAAGAATAATTGCAATGTTATTAGATTAAAATTGTTTCATTGTCAGCTGGATTTTTTTTGGTCCTATATTTGGACATATAAGTGGAATTTATCTATCGATTTATCTTTAAATTTTTTTTATTTCTTTCAGCATATAAAGTTTTAAAATTCTACTTTTTTTTTTAACACAAATGAAAATATTTATAGCTAAGTATGATTGTCTGTTTATGATATTTATATTACGTTTTGAACAAATCATGCAACGAATAAATCTCTATCTTGCAGTACATTGGGTCGACTCCGTTCTATCTGATAATCGCATTGAAATTGATGCTTCGAGTACTGCCGATCGCGCAGACGGTGATGATGTACCTACTTGGTATAGTCGGAGTGACGACGTCGGTGCTATCGCTGATATCCATTGTATGGATACTCAATCAGCAGCAGCAGCAGCAGCAGCAGGAGCAGGAAATGGCTAGAAATAACGACGATCTCGATTTGAGGATACCCTTATGTAATGGCCAATACACTTCTATCAATATTTTACCGACGATCAAGAAGATCACGTCGAAGACAGATTGTTTGACAGATAATTAAACTGCCGTAGTTAATGCTCGTGAATGTGATTGCATGGAGACACGAAAGAGATGCGATTCTCTTTACGATCTTACACATGCGTGTATCATCGATGCGCGGTCCGCAGCGATTTAGCTTGGAGTGAAGGCAAATCGATGGAACCTTTTTACAATGATCTTTTATCCGCAGCATCACAACGGCGGAGACTTGAAATCATTACGATGAAGGGGATTTAGGCAATACGGTTGAATGTACATAGAAATGAGTGGTATGTCGAGTATATGTATTTTTTTGGATATATATATTGCAGTGGAAATAATGAAACTTTAAGTTTGAACAGGAAAGTGTAAATAAGGTTTCGAATGTTTTTATCATTTGTGTTCGATTAATTTATATTTTACATTATATGTTATATTTTCGATTATTAATTATTTTAATTTCATACTCAAAAAAATTACTCAAATAACAAATACATATACATCAAATATGTTAGCTAGACAATATACAGTGCAGTTATAAGCATAAGTACAAGATTTAAGTTACAATTACGATTTTATATTTAGATTATTTGAATATGTATAAAATTTCTGACGATGTCTTGTTCGTCAGAAATTTTATACATTTATTATTGGTGACATAATAGCATTGTAATTGATAGTATATATAGAAATAGTAAATTTTTGCAAGTTTTTATGATTTAGTGATAGGTATATATTCTCGGTTAACATATTTAATTTATTGTTACATAAAATATTTGATATACTAAGATATTTCGTTTTTAATTGACAGCTTCACTTTTTGTGCAGATCATAAGTGTGACAAGAAATTAACTGACTGTTGGCTTTATGATTAATTTTCAATATTGAATTATGTCAGAAAAAGCTTTATGAAAAAGCAGAGAATTGATTTTTGTTTTTAATATTAATATCAGGACATGATATTGTGATAAAATTTAATTTTGATTTATTTAAATGAATCTTTTTTTTTTGTTATCTGTGTTTAAAAAGAAATCAATATTATTATATAAATAATTGATGATTATGACAGAAACACATTAAGTTTGAATACACATGGGTATATGGTTGTAGTGTTTTTTATATACTTCTGCTAGGTCAACACTATGTTAAAAGAAGAATGTTATTGCGTTCATTCGTTTTTATACTTTAATGCTAAGCTTATTTATTTGTTCTGTTTTTTGCACGATTAAATATTGTGTAATGTATACTTTTTTAATAAAAACTATTAAACATTGCGAAGTTAGTTGGAAAATAAAGTGTGATAAAAGTACGTTTTCTTTGTACCGAATACAATTTATATATTGTCAGTAGTTATTTAAATTTTATAAGCAGGTAAAAATATAGTAAGACGACTGTGTAACATTAATAAATTTTATTTTATAAAATTAAAATTCGGTAAAATTGATTAATATATGTATAATATAGAAATATAATATATATATATATAATTAAATTTCATAACAACATATCTTTATAATTTACTATCCAATATTTACAAATTGTTCAATGTTTGATATACCAGTTCCATATTGGGTCGATTTTGCGCCAATCTATTTGCACACCATTTTCCTATAGATATTAAATTTTTGTACACTTGCTTGTTTTCTTCGCCACCGTGCTTGTCTATCAGCAAAGAAATGTCCTTGTCCTTCCAAGCCTCGATTAGATCTATTAACAATTTCTTCTCGGAATCGTCATAAGCCCGAAGACCGGTTGCCATTTCGAACAAGACTATACCGTAACTGTAAGTGTCTATTTTTGTGGATAATTTTTTGTCTCGTAAAAATTCTTCGGGTAAGTAAGGTCTTGTCCCATGAATTCTGCTGATCTAATAATTATCAATAGTTATTATTAATATTAATTATTCGTTATCTCAATTATATTATACGAACAATTGTGATGAATTATATGCGATAAACAATTTTTCATAATAACTGTCCATTATAATATCATAAAATGTTTATAAAATTTTTACGTTAAAATTTTTTAAAATAAACGAAATCTTATAAAATATAAGAAAGTCTTGTAACGTTTTAGCACCTTGAGCATCACAAATCATTCACGTTAAAGCTTTTCAATAATTACCTTCATACTATCTCTTTCAGGACCTTCCCGCGCCAAACCAAAATCCCCAATCCTGGGCTCGAAATTTTTATCGAGCAAAATATTCGCGCTTTTGATATCACCGTGAATCAATGGTTTCTCCCCTATGTGCAAGTATTGTAATCCACGTGCTATGCCCTTGGCAATCTCGTGTCTTTGCATCCACGTTAACGGTTTGGTCTTTTGTCTTAAAAGCAGCCTATCTTCCAGAGATCCATTTTTCATGAGCTGATAGACCAAGCACGGTGCTTCGCCGCCCAAACTGTACGCGTATAAAGGCAAGATATTTTCATGGATGTGAGAATTTAAAATCTTTATTTCTTTTAACGATTGCTCAAACTGTAGTATATAACTTTCGTCTAAATCAGACCCTTTTTGCCGGATTTTCTTTATGGCAACGTCGGTATTTTTCCAAATGCCTGCAATGTACATAAATTTAATTTAATAAATAAGATATCTTTTAAATCAAATGTTTTCTGCTAATCTGTTTTCCTTTTACAAAATCAATTAAATGTGTAATAAATATCAATTTAAAAAATCCGAAATTTAATTATTAAATTCATATAAATCTCTCTAAAATCTTTTTTAATCTCCGTTGCATTTAAATTTTGTAATTGGCAATTTATAGGTAAATATAAATTAGACAGCATACCTCTGTATACTGTTCCAAAACCACCTCTCCCTAATATATTATGTTGATTCCAGCCATCTGTGGCAATAGCAAGTTCGCTATAACTTGCCTGCGGCAGGGTACTCTCCGCTTTTGGCAACGGCGATTCGTTGATCTTTTTCTCATTGCTACCAGTATTTTGCGGAAATGGTGAGAAACCAGCAGCACCTGCTGGCGAAGGTACTGCCAAATTATTAGAATTGCTCGGGCTAACACCCAGTTGTGCCGTTGGTTGATTCAAAATTTTATTAACACTCTGCGGCTGCACACGTTGATTGAAATTTTGCGTGCCGATCTTTAAGTCCTTACTATTTTTGTTGACCAGCTGCTTGCGCGGCATGTTCTGAAAGTTGCCTTCCCCGTTGTAGAAAAGTCGATGAAATTTCTGTTCAACAAACGGTAATAAAGGCACCATTGCCTGATAGTGTTGCATTTTGGACAATAAAACAAACAATTCTGCTGTTGTATGATTGTGATGACCCCACAGGGTCAAGAGTTCATCTGTGGGATTTTTCTCCTTTCTTAAACTCTGTATCGTCAAGACGTCATATTTCATCCAGGTACCTATAATGTAAAAAAAGTATGTAATTAGAGACACAAGCTGTTCAGTGGTGGACAGATCAGTTGCGACATTTTTTATTTATAGGTTTCCAAATGCATTAATATTTTGCAAATGCTAACCACGATTGGTGTAATACTGTCTCTAGACTTATAAAGATAGTACATTGTGATTCACATTTGCAAAATATTAAATACCTATAAAATATATATTATGTATATTAAATATATATTAGAAACCTATAAAAAAAAAGTGTTGCAACCGATCTGTCCACAATTGTACACATAACATCATAACGTAAGTTATTGCATTGCTTGTTTAAAACAATTGTCTATTGCCAAGCAAAATTGGTGATATTAAAAAAAAAATAAGGGCAATATGATGAGCAGAATCATGAGTCTGTTTTCTATACCTGAACTAATGTGCTCTTTGCACTTAAAGTGAAATGATATATGTTTGACATTTGTAAAAGTGTGAAAGAAAGTTCTAATCAATTACATTCTAGTCAACTACAGGAAAAGAAAACATAGACCTCAGAAAACAGGTGACTAAGGTGAAATAGGTTAGTATCAACAAATATGTTAATGTGTGACAGGAATATATTTCTCAAGAGTATCTTATCTTCCTGCCGACGTACTTACCAGCCAGTTCCTCCCATTTATCATTTTGATTCAGAATTTTACAAAATTCCGACCGTTCGGAGAATGGCAGGTGATAAATGTACTTGACGTTCTCCGTTGTTGCCATTTTGCAAATTAACGGATCGTTGTATTGTAAAATTGTTAGGCTCTTAATTCGTTGTGTACAATATGTATGTATTACGCGAAATCACTGATATATAATATCACTAAAATTATATTCTAACATAGAGAATCCTCTCTGATTCTACTAACTATTAATTAAACTACATCCAACTACAGTGAATTACTACACTCATCTCAACCCTGGGCTGACAGCCTTTTGCATGTTACCTCAATATACCCTCGTGCACCAACGTCCCCTGAAGAAGTGGAGGTAAACTACATAGCAACATTCACTTTTCTGCACCGCGGATATATAATTTGTGGTGCGTGTCCGTGCTATATATCCACCTTTTGAGAAGGCTTTATTCTCGAAAAATTATTGCGCTTTCGAAAATCATGTCCTCTCTCAGATTACGAATATTTCCGACGAGTCGATCTCGAAAAGTGGAGGTAGCACGGACACGCACCACAAATTGTATACTCGCGGTGCGGAAAAGTGAATGTTGCTATGTAGTTTACATCCACTTCTTCAGAGGGCGTTAGTGCACGAGAGCATTTTGAAGTACAGCTGGTGCTGGCAAAAGGCCGTCACTCCTCAGTGATGGCAGGGATCATCTGTGATCCACAAAGGGAGTTGAGTATGTGATTTGTGTGCATTTTTGGTCCGGTCAATAAATTTGATTGACTGTTAATGAACTATTCGACAGTGCGAAGCAATATATTATTGTTAATAAAGCGCACAAAATCGAGATTTCTCTTCGTCGTAAAAAAAAAATGTACAAGTCATGAATAATTGCTACAAATAATAAAAATTCGCTTGTCGACCTGGTCAGATGTGTCAAGTTGTTTATCGTGATTATTATTTATCGCTTCGAAAATATCGAGGGAAAGATTCACGATGCTGTGTCGCGATGGAGCTCTCAGTTTATTCTGCTTTATCGCAGCGGGTTTAATCTCGCTCTCCCCTGAATTGCAGTTCAGGTTAGGATTTAATATTTATGCCGCAAATTTTTCAAATATCTGGCTTTTACATGCGATACAGTACATTCTCATAAACGTGTCAGCGTTGCTGGCGTTTCGCGGTTTTGCTTATCAAGTAAGTGTTTCTCGTTATTACTTTAGGTGTATCTTATTTATAATATTTATAATTTATGATATTTTATTTATAATATTATAATATTTATAATTTTATGCTCTAGATATTACCTTTATTTTTATCAAAATCGGAGGGAGAGCTAAACTAAATAATTACCTTACCTTTTTTTTTTACAGGTAGCAATCAGAGCGTTGTTTCTTGGATATGTATTTGGAGCTGGTATCTTGGTATCGATCAACGCTCCACCATCGTGGCAGGCGTTTGGCATTTATGCGACAGTATTATCGACTTTCCATTACACGGAATTTCTAGCTATAGCATGGACAAATCCAACTGCATTGTCGATCGACAGTTTCATACTTAATCACAGCGTAGCGTACGGGGTAGCGGCGTGTCTCAGTTGGGTAGAGTTTCTCATAGAGAGGCATTACTTTCAAGAGATAAAAGTATCTTCCCCCGTGTCCTATCTTGGTCTGATATTATGCATTTCTGGCGAAGTTCTAAGAAAATCAGCGATGTACACTGCAAAACACAATTTCAACCATATTGTGCAAAGTGAGAAAAGCGACAATCACGTTCTTGTTACGCACGGTGTATACAAGCTTTGTAGACACCCCAGTTACGTAGGGTGGTTTTATTGGTCCGTCGGAACGCAGGTGAGGCATCATGAATTTTCTACAATTAGACATTTGGCTTTGCACTCTTATCATATTGTTAATTGACATTTCATAAATTTTGATTGCAGTTAATACTTCAAAATCCACTATGCCTTTTTGCGTACGCACTGATGTCATGGACTTTCTTCCACGATCGTGTTCTGATTGAAGAAATGACTTTATTAAATTTCTTCGGCGATGACTATGTTGAATATCAAAAGAGAGTAGGTACTGGACTTCCATTTATTTCTGGGTATAAGATTAATTCATAGCACCCTATATTGGTGTAATCCTAGTTTGTAAAAAATTTGTTCTAACAAATCGAAAAACATGTTTTGTAGAAAGTAATTAGATAATTAATCGTAAATATCAAAATTTAGAAATTTTTTGGCATACAGATGATTTTGAAAATAATTTATTAATTTTCATTAATTTGTTTTTGTTTTCATTTATTATTTAAATAATTTTAACTACTTGTGATATGTGATTACATAATGTAATATATAATCTTGATGCCAATTTACACATTTACTTGTCTAGTCGTCAATTTTATGCTTTTAAATTTTTTTATGTATGCAAAACTCAGGTTTAACGTTATAATTGTTACTTAATTACAATGTGTTAGTATATATTATAAAAATAATATACAAATTTTGTAAGGTTATGTGAATAAATTTTTGTACATATTCTCGCTTTCTTATATATTTTCTACAAATTCTGGTTAGAAGTATATATGATTTAAGGTAGAAATTAAAATTTTTTCGAATGGAGTAATTATATAATTATATACACAAAGTATTCACGATGAAATAATGAACATACAGTTTGTTAGCAAAATTATAATTTATTGTCTCATTTTCTTTGAAGAATTATTATGTAACAATAGACTACATTTATGTATATATATATATATATATTACGGTAGATACTTTCAGTATGATTTTATATACAGGGTGGAGCAATATTAGCTATTACCACACCTGAAACATCGCTCCTAATTGAGATGTTCTAATTAGGATGCCACTGATGGCATTATTCACACCCGAACACCGCAATCGCGTAAAGAAGGCATTTCAGACCGGTATATTTGTTATTGCACCCTGTACATACAATGCAATATACATACAATATTACAGTATTACGTAACTAACGTTTTGCATGAACATCCAAAAGCGTTCATTCGATGTCGGAGTGTATCGGTTAAGGTGTGTTAAGAATATAATATACAAGTATATGCATCGGTTCCTTTCTTTTCTGTACATGATCATTTACAGTGTGTTATAATAGAATCGTAGCGAACGCAGAAAATTCCACGGGAGCTATGATACATTATCTCGGTATCCCATTCCTTAAATAATATCTAAAGGCAATCTGCATAGAATCTCGTTCAATGACGTTTGCTCTTTCATTATGCGCAACGGTTTTAGCTGATTAATCGGATTACGTATTGTAAATAATACGTACGTTAATGAAACGTTAAAGATCGACAATGCACATACTACAGTACGTATGTTATGAAAATGTCATTGAAAAGTATAACAATTTGTACAAAATTAGACGATATTTTTTTTACGGAAAAAAATATTAATTACGTGAAAAAATATACAGAGAAAGACAGATTTGCAAGAATTTGCATTGGACGTAGATCTCTCTTGTATAATATTTTCAATAATTAAACTACGGACTTCCTACTTTTTATCGTGTAAACTGGAAAAACGGATATACAGGAGGAAATAATTGGAGGTATTTAATTGACAGTTAATTAAGCTCTACTGATGTTAAAACATTCCGTCTGTAAGTCTAATATAATTCAACTATTTAGGAAGATTGAAATTAATTGTTTTAATCGTTTGAAAATTTAATAGAATAATTATTTTATATCGTATAAGTATTGCACACGCTTCAATTTATATTTGGAAAATAATATAACCTAATTGCGCAGATAGATGATATATGTATATTTTGGTGGCCGAATAATTGTTATTACTATCAAATTGTACGTTTTACTTTCATAAGATCTCGAATACAGAGATTAGAGAACGCTAATTGCTGTTTATTTATACGCGGATTTTCCATACTCTATTCGATATAAATTTTATATATGTAGCAACACACAATCTCTTTACTTACGCCGTCCCTCATCCCTATCGCTATTTTCTTTCTCTCTCTCGTATTTAACTTTCTTTGTTTATACGTATATCACGCAGACTGATTAAAATCTTTTAATAAAAACGTACGTTCGATGATGCCGTTCAATTACCCATTCATTATATTTATCCTTGATTTTTAATCGCCTGTTATTCCCTTGCATTAAAAATCACATTTAAGCACCTACATGTATACGATAAATGATAAGTATTCATCATGGTATGAGTGCAATCTGGAGTCGAATTAATCAAGTTCGTCCAATCCTCCATTTGATTGTTGATGTATGTATTTTTGCTTCAAGGATCTTGGTTTTTTTTTTTTCGAGGATTAATAGTCAATGGAGGGTATAATGTCCGTAACTTATGCATTTCGCATTATAAATATACATATAAATGTGCATTCTCTTTCCAACGTGTAAAAGTTCGATTATATCGATTATAAAAAAGTCGCGTTTCTTCAACGAAATTATTTTGGTTGTGACGAGAATTTTATTGTCTTTCTTCTGGTAAAATACGGGAGATATATCAAAGTCTTATTAAAGCTTTGATTACACTCATACGCTAGTGAATAATATTTAATCCTTATACGATGACAGAACCTTCGTCGTATTATAAATATGAATAAATCAGCACGTGGCAGTGAAAAATTATAACTATGTACTTTATAGTCAACACATCTCTTTCGTATCAGTCACCGTATCAGCTGCTCGAAACTCGTTCAGCTGATTTGCGAAAATAAAAGACGCCTGCGCGAAGCTTGATTACAAAGAAAAAACGGAACGAGGAGAAACGGAAAAGACATTGAGAAGCTTAATCGCTACTAGCCTTCTTGTATTTACATCGCGTAACAGTAAACGATAAAATTCTAGATGAGAGAATAATTAGCGTAAATCTTCTGTCGCTTTTAACATAATGATTCGTTACTTGCGAATGGAATTGTATCTACCATTTTTGTACAAATAAAGCGGTATAAAACGTTATAGTTATTTTAATTATAAAATATCGATAGCAATATATTAGTGCAGGTAGACTCTGTATATTCTATGGATATAAAATTGTTTTGTTGCTCGCTTTTAGCAATAGTTTACTTTCGTATCTTTCACATGTTACCCCAGGTCGTTCGTGATAAACCGTCAAAGGAATACATGCATTTTAAATACGTTTCGCTTTTCGATTTTTTTGCGTGTGTCACAGATGTGCGGATGTCCCGTCAAATCAAATTACTGCAATCGAAAAGTTGCGTCTTTATATGTGTTACACAATGTTCCGACAACGTTTGATTAGCTGTGATAACATATTTGCTTTTGATCCTTTAATACGTCTTAATGGTCTCTTCCAAAATATTAGATATGTATGAAAAATTTAACGTATGTATTTGGCTTTAAACACGGCATTTACATCAACGGTATTACCGCTCGTCAGTGGTGTGAAAATTCGCGCGGTACATCCCTCAGATGCAAATGCGGATCTTCTTTTCAGTAGTACCTTTCGTAGTCACCGCGTGTGGGAAGTCTATCAGTTCGATCACTGTAAAATTAAAAAGAGCACGTAAGATTGATAGATATTTAACATGTTATATAAGTAATAAGTTATATAAGTTTAGATATTACATTGATGATTGAACATCGAATATTGATATCCTTCTGTCACAGAGATTAATTATTCAAATAATATATTACATCAATAGAAGGGCTAACGAAGCCAAGAGCTGGATATACATGCTAATAACGTGTATTAAAAATTCGATAAACAATAATTATGTCGTATAAAATTATCAACAATCTTCTTTAAGAAATACAACCAAACGATTCGAATCTACAAGAGCAGCGGTCATCTTCAATGGATTTTAACGGATTTTAATGCACTTACAATCAATATTATAAAATCGCTCGCATATAATAATTCTCATTATTCTAGCTCTGACTAGTTTTTTTGATATTTTCGCCTTGTCGTCCAATTTCATAAATCCAATCATAATCCATATTTAATCGATATCAATTATATCTGTGGCAGAAGAAAATCTGAAATGATGGACAAGTGACGTACCGTATATAGTTTCGCCGTGTTACCTCCAACGTCGGTGTGTATTAAGCATTAGATAATTTACAAATTTATTAGCTGTACATATTATGCAAACTCGCGGAAATACGCACACCCTTTAAAGTACTGTACATTCCCAGCCTGATTTGAATAACGTAATTTGGTTTTCTAAAGGGAAATGTGTATTTCCGAGAAGTGAGAACAAGTCGATAAAATGTTCTATACTCGTTTAGCTTAATAACAAGCCATTGAGAACGTTAACTGCGTCTACGCACAACAGCGTGAAAAGTACACTTTGCTCCTTAATGTCCCTAGTCAAAGCGATGAGATTTTGAAGTATAATTAATAATGAGTAACTCGTCATGTCGTACGCGGCGAGATTGGACGCGGGTTTCGGGTGAATAATGTTCACTGGCGGCGGTGGTACAAACGCGTCGAATCCGTCCGCATCTGCATCCGTGAATACCAGCGAGGATGGTATCCATCTTACTCTGAGCGCAGCGTGCGAAGTAATATCCAACGAGATTATAGCCATTTCAGACATCATCGCATATAAATTATTTTAACAATGAATCTTCGAATATCAATTTATTAGATTATTAGCAAGTAATTTAAATACGAATTTTGTATTGTGCTACTTATTGATTTAAGTATTATATTTGTTAATTAATATAATCTAAATCGCTAATATAAATGAAAATCTAAAGATCTGTAAAAAGAAATCGGTTTCAGATAGCAGAACCGATTTAATATAAAAAAAGGCCGTAAAATTACAGATTTGAAGGAAAAACGCTTTTTTTTTAAAGATTCTTATGCGGTGCTTACCTGGTGCACGGCGAGACATTTACTCCCCTGATGGCCTTCTCGCCGATGTCGATAGCTCCTGAGTCCTGTACCTCTAGCGTGTAAATGCAACCGGAGAATCCGTCATAGTACCTGCCGTAAGACATCGCGTAATCCGGTAAGCCGCCCAAGTAAACGCTACCCCTCGCGTTCAGGGTCTGCTGCAGCCCGTCGCTGATGCCGTTCTCGGTGTGCTCGCCGTTCAGTTCGATGCTGCCGTCGCTTCCCTGACGTTTCAGGATTATCCTGTGCCGTTCTCCGTCATCGACGCGCTGGGCGGTGACGCGAATCACGGCTGGACCGGAGCCCAGATTGTACTGATACTCCACGTACCTGGAATAACAAAAAGAAACATAAAAATATATATAATATTAATATTCAAGGATTTGCCCAATATCTTAAGAGTAAAAGTTTTATTTTATGGTAGACAGTTTTGTTTTATGTTACGGTGTATACATTGCTCACCCATCTACTACAGCAACAGCGATGTAATCATCGGGAGTCAAATCGTTCGGTGTTTGACCGTGCCACATAATCAATCCGTGACTCTTATTAGTACTGATCTCGAGGCCTACAACCTCACGCTCTTCGCCGTGCATCATGACAGATTTGTCTAATTCGAGCCAGCCGTCTCCTCTGAATGCAACATCGTACGTGATCTCCGCCACTGTAAATATACGACCACATTATTCGTAATTATTGTATTTTAATTTTTTAATTATTACACATTTTTAAGAATTATACTACAATATAATTATATTTAACTACGTTTTAATTGTTTTAACTGTGTTTTAATTGTGTACAATGATGATTTTTATAAGAAACAATTTTCGTCTTTTTTTTTACATATGTGTTTTTAAGAATTTAGAAAATTAATTTTTTTTTACGTATTGATTGTAATTTGGATACAAATAGAGCCACTAATAATAATTTGAACTTTTTTGTACTCACGCTTTTCGCAATTCTGCCCGTTGTAACCGAGGCGGCAGTCGCATTTGTAGGACTCGTGGAGGTCCGTGCAGGTACCGCCGTTTCTACACGGGGTGAGAAATTCGCATTGCTTTAGCATCTTCTCGCAGTTTCTGCCCGCGTATCCGTATTCGCATGTACACGAGTAGTCATCGTTTAAACTTTGACACTGGCCGTGGACGCAGGGGATCGATGCGCAAGGATTGTACGACGTTGTTGGTTGCGTTGACGCCGGAGTGGTGACGGTGGTATGAATCATCGTTTGATTCGGATGAGGCTCCGAGCAGTCCTCGATATTGGCCGCGTCGATCGATGACTTTACTATATCCAAACTGACCGACGAAACTTCGAGCTGTAAGATAAATTAACAAACGCTTATTAATTTCTCTTTCTCTATTTTGACGAAATAATTAATTATATTATATATTCATTTTATTCTTTAAATGGCTTTTTTTAAGATTTTACTGAAATTTAGCTCTCACCAATTCAATTAAAGTAATAAGATGTATTAAATATTAGATATTAAAATATAAAAGAGGTTTTTTTATTTTACTTACGCTAATAAAAAATTGTTTTTAGATTTCATAGAAAACTTGTTATTAAATAATTCTGGACAAAGCTAATTACAAGATCTTTTATTGCTATTCATATATAGTTAATAATGTTGCTTACTTCGCTTATGCATCCGCGGAAGCTACGATCGACACCGACGTCCCGATTGATCGTGATCCTTCTGTGATCTACCCCTCCGATGTAGAGAGGCGTATTCAGATTCATAGTTCTTGCGGCTCCGGGCGATTTGCCCTCCACAAACGGCTCGCCGTTTACGGACAGTTTCGCATCCTTGAAATCTCGATTTACCGTTACGTACATCCATATACCGGGTTGGACGGTGGAAGGTGATCTTAACGTCGCTACTCCGGAGCCGATGTCGAAGCGAAACTCGACGTGCCTGTCCCTTATCACGAGCGCCGCAAAATCTCCGAGGCCCTCGTCACTTTGAGAAGAATACATCAAGATCCCGTCCCCGTTGTCCGCCGGATTAAAACTCATGGCTACCTTAAGCCTAGAATTGGGTATAAAACAGGCAAAAAGAAGAGCGTATTATTATTGAACGCACATCCTCAAGGGGCTTTAAGCAACGTATGCCACGTGTTAATTATTTATTTAGTTTGTTTATTATAAAACTCAATTTGCACACTTTCACTCTTTATCCTTCTTATGCGCAAAATATTTGTACGACTGTCTCATTATTCTTTGTCTTATACTTTTTATAAAAGAGAAGCTAATTGAAGTTGAAATTTAATGGCAATCGAATCTGTTATACGATTTACACACGAAAGACATGTGCAAAAGACACGTGCAAAGGATTGCGAAGCGCATAGGCAGAAAAGGATTTTATATAATATATATGTACAGGAAAATATAGAAGCTCATTCAGGCATCAAAACATATATGAATAAAGTTTTTGTCTTAAAACTTACCTCATCGTCTTATATCTTTTTAGCATTTTACGACATGCAAGGCGTTGAAATATCGAATAAAACATTGACTTAACTTAACGTGTGTGATTTATTACATTAATTATTTCCGTTTGCTTGCTTTAAAAATATTTATTCGTATAGCATGAGTCTGCTGAGTATATAAACGATCATTCGTACGTGAAACATCTCTTTCTTTTTTATATATATATATATATATATATAGATTCTTAGATATGTAAGTACAAACATTTTACATATGCTGTCATATATATAACTGTCATATACACGTAGTGGATGCTACGACTTTGACGTTTTTCTAAGCTTTGAGTGGGGACTAAACTGTTAAATGCGACTGATTTGGCAGTGACTTCACGTATTACTTTTAATATAATTAATAATGACTAAAGTGACGCGTTAAGTGTATTAATTAAGAAGCTGTACAAAACATATTAATTACTAATTCGTAAATTGACTGTTGTTTCTAACATTACAGCACCGCGAATGTCCATTATACAAGGAACTACGCACTATGGCAGGCTCGTTGCAAAATACCTGTTAAGAATTCATTGCTTCTTTTCTTTCTTTACGTTATATAATAACCATCGCGTACGAAACTAGGGGAGAGAGAAAGGCAGTGAAAAATTGCTCAAGAATCTCTTCGACTATGGGCGTAAACGTATTTTAGAAATTTTAGGCAGCGCTCATTATATGATATGGTGACTTATAGATTTACGGAGGGAGAAGTTTATTATTGCTGTGACTGGATAAGTAATGATTCTCTAAGTGCGTAAAATTGGTGCTAGCTCTAGCTAATGTTTTGTGTGGTGCAAATTATTGTGGTGATGTGGCCTTGATCGTGGTTGCCTAATTTGTGCGTTGCGTAATCGTGATCGACTGTGTGTAGTGGTCGAACTCTCTCTTTGCCTGAAAAGAATTTTAGTAATTAGGATGCTTGAGGATGTTCGTATGCATTGACAATGAGATTAGTACCTATACTCCAATTATTTATTATATTCCAGTTAAATCTGTTAGTTCGTCAAAGGCGTGTGGAGAAATATTTTTATAATATTTATCTTTATAGGGATTTTTTTTGTATTTCAAAGATTTTCGAATAAAATTTATCAATTAAAATCTATTTCTAACCGTATAATTATTATTAATTATATTCAAAACTTTTTATGTCTTATAACATTTTGAAGAATAATTTTGCAGAATGTGTATAATTTTTTTTCATTTCACATATTTTTCACAGATGAACTATATACAAATAATGACAATACGTAAGAAAACTCAAAGTAAAATAGATGTACGAGACGCAATCGCCGTGGCAATATGTTCCATCATGTGCGCTTGTAACATCGACTAAGTGCAGTTCATTAAGAAATAGTTCGTGCACGTGCGTTCGATCGAGCGAAGGTACTCACCGTCTAAGAGCTTTTGGAGTCTCGTGAGCGATGAAAGCTCTGTCGTTATGGAAAGTCGGGTCGTAGATGTTCACCGTATGCTCGCATCTCGAGCCTGTCTTCCCGATCGGGCAGTAACAATCGAAGCCGACTTCTTTATCAACGCATTTACCTTCTCCGCAAGCACCTAATATCATTCAATGCGTTTACTGAATCTTATTGTTTAAATTCTTTAAATTGAAGTTTTAAAAGATTTTTTTATTTTTGATAATATTTAGTACACATATTATGCACGCGCGAATCTTAAGATTAACAGTTAATAATTATAATTATTATAAAATAAGAACTGGTTGAAGTTTAAAACATTCCTGGAGTGACTTTTTAAAAATTATTTGTTCCATTTCTAAAAGCAGAAATGAAACAAATCATTATTGGCGTAGCTTTTTTAAGTAATAATTGTTTAAGGGACAATTTTTTAAGTAATTAAAGTTAAGTAAGCAAAGAGAGGGTGGTTTATCGAGTATAAGGGTGCCTTTCGACTAGTACATTCGATCGGAACATTTTTTATTTTGTGTCTGGCATTTAGAAGTTAATTTGCGCAAAAGTAGAAATAAGACAAATTATTTTTGGCGTAGCTAGAATTTTTCAAGAGATTGAGAGGGTAGTTTATCGAGCATGAGGATGCCTTCCAACGCGATCGGAACATTTTTTATTTTATTTTGTGTCACTTAGAAGTTACTTAATTTGTACAAAAAAAAGTAGAAATGGACCAAATCATTTTTGGCGTAGCTAGAATTTTTTAAATAACCGGAAGAGTGATTTGTCGAGCATAAGGGTGCCTTCCGACGCGTGCATTCAATCGGAACATTTTTTATTTTATGTCTGACACTTAGACTCTGTGCGAAGCTAGAAATGGGACAAATAATTTTCAAAAATCGCTCCAGGAACGTTCCAAACTTCAACCAGCTATAAATATCATTATAACTATAGCAAATTTAACAAAAAGTATGATAAAAGTATAAATTAAAATGTAACAAATTATATGTCGTACCTGGATAACAGGATTGCCCGACGTTGTCGCAGTGCTTGCCGCTGAAACCGGCTCGGCACAGGCACGTGTAGCCGTTCTTCGTGGCCGCTTCCTGGCACACACCACCGTTGTTGCAGGGATTCTCGGCGCAGGTCTCGCAAGTCGTGATGCCCACGCTGTCGGTCTGATCGCCGATCAGATCGACCTGTTTCTCCCCGAGGACCAATCGGCTGATGCATCCAACGAAACCTGTGTTCATTTCGGCCTGCTTGTTGATCCTGCTGTAGCTGGGCACACCGCCGATGTAAAGGGGCTCCTTGAGATCGAGACCTTGGCGTCTGCCCAAAGCGACCATCTTGTACGGGCCCTCGCCGTCCACCAGCATCGTCCCCTCCTTTCGATTGCGTTGGATCTTGATGGTATGCCACTTGCTCAGGGTGACAGGCTTATCCGCGCGAACAGAAGCCGGTCCGGAACCGAGATTGAATCTATTAAAAGATTCTTCGTTAATAGAGTTTAGGAAGTTATCTGCTTTTTATTAGTAATTTTCATGCCGAACAACTTCTTCACAGCTCAATTTGAAAAGCCAACATGATCGATATTGATCGCAACTTCTTAATTTTGAATATATACACACTGTGTAATAATAGAGTTCGACCACTTATTTCAAATTATACTTTTTTCATGTTTAACAAGATCCTTTTATTTACTTGAATTGCGGGTATCCGTTATTCAGAGATAAAACGATAAAGTCGCCGTTGTCGTGGCCGGACTCGTCGTTGTATAGCAGAATGCCGTCGTAACTTTCCGGTTTGAAAGAGATTTCGATGTTGAACTTGAGGTAAGAGTCGGGCAGAGGAGGGAAAGCGATGTAGCTTTCGGGCGCCTGACTAAAGTTGGGCACAACTCCTGTTACGACCAGCACCGTAGGCACTTCGACTCGCGAGTCTTCGTTACTTCCGCTGCAAATGTACGTTCCAGCGTCTTCCGCCTTTACATTAGTAAGCTTCAATTTATTCTGTAAAATAAAAAACACATGTTGAATTATCGAACACGAAATATTTTATATCTCAAGGTATATATTAATTATTTAATTATAATTAAATATACGGGATTTCTAGACAGAAATATATGATGCTCGTCATTTTACGTACCTCATAAGTCTGGCTGTCACGTGGCAGAAGTCCACCAAGTTTATGCCACTGGAATTGTATCGGCGGGTCGAGATCTAGTCGGCAATCCATTTCCAGATCTGATCCGTATGGCGCGAGTTTGGTCTCGATCGCTGGTTCGTCGAGGATGCCGCCTGGGAAATCGTAAAATTCTTCGTTCGCAATAATTTTCGCGATAAACTTAATCGCTCGCCGGCTTTATACTTACATAAAACGTATGCAATTTGAGTGAGCATTTGGCAGAAAGTAGATATTATAAGAGAGATGTATACATGTAATCTTTTTTACGTATAAGAATACTTTATTATCTCTGTATTTACCACATATATTATCTATCGTTATTCGCATAATTGTATATGTCTTATTAATTACCGTGTACGATCAGATTGAAGTCCTTCTCGAGTGTACCTTCGGCCGTGTCTACTATGCACCTGTAGGGCCCGCTATCGCCAACGGCTACATTAGTCAGTCTCAAGATGTTGCCGTACTCCTGAGCGTTCGCCGGCAGGCTCACGTGGTTCGGTCTCGTCCAGCTATAACGTGGACTGCGCGTTCCGGTGTATGTGCAATGTATGTCAACGGTATCGCCGATGTTTATTGGATCTTGAGACACCTCGATGCTCACCGTAGGCACCGCGGCAGCTAGAATCGTATTGCAACATGTTGGCCATACGTTGAAGATTGATTGTACAATTAGGAAAAATGTACAATGTATCCTGTTTTACACATCGTCGTGTGTATCACGAAGAAGACACTACAGCCTTCGATCGGATTTCTAAAATGAACTGCGAGATCCGATTGCAGCGTTTTATTCCATGTGTCTGTGACCTGAACTCTTTATATCACGTTTGAAATTCGTCATAAAAAATTACAAATAAAATGTAAATAAAAAAAATTATTTCTTGAAGGAATAATTAATATTAGCACATTTGAAGAATACAGAAGAATATTATATAGAGAAATCTACTCGGAATATAAGTTTTTAAAAAAAAGTTTTTAAAAAAAAGTAGCGTCAAACTGAAGTCTGAAGTATATATATACATATACATATATATATATTGATTTACACATATTATATTTGCTGCTAAGAAGGATGGGATACGGGAGATGTGCACTTCTTCCGCACTACATTCTTGTAAGTTTTATAAAAAGACAACTGGCCGGAAATTCGTAACATTTTAAAATAAATCTTATTTTACTTGTCTATTATTCGAGGCCTGGTCTTTTCGGCCAAAGAGTTCACCTTAATCCGTATCCTCTCCTCATATACATAGGTACAGTAAGCAAAGAAAGAACAGTTCACTACGTGTAGGAGAACTACGGGACGTCACACGACACACATATATCTCAAAACAAACCGCGTCGTCTCTGGAGATATTGGCGATAGCGCGCGTTGCGGCAGAAGCGTTCGTCAGTACCGTCGTTGCACTGAACATAGCCATCGCAAAAGTATTCCTTCGGAATGCATTGTAGGCTTCTGCATTGATACTCCCAGTGCCTGCACTGCGATCGGTACACTGGCATGCAATCCGCAAGCAAATTAACTACTAAATCATAACGCGAGCCTTGTAAAAAAAAACCTAAACTTGTGGAAACGTTCATGGAACCACGTTTGAAATATAGATATATTGTATGTATGATCACGTTAATTAGCCCAAACGATACAAAAAAGTTCAAGAGACATCAGAAAAAAAGATTTTAGGGCATTTCTTGAGCGCCTTATACGCGATGTCTTTTGCTGTTTGTATTGTCTGAGAGTAATTTGCTGCGCGCTTGTTAGTGATATGAGTGATGCGTTAGATTAATATAAAATAACAGATTTAATATTTTAAATCACGATTATTTATGTGCATTATTTCTTAATCATTTAAATTTTTGATACATAATTTTGTGCTGATTCTTTTCTTTTTTAGAAAATATATTGAGTTTTACATTCGTCACGTCCCGAATAAGAAATTGAAATCTTCAGATGGGCTAAAAGTTTAAAATATTCTATTGGTGCAAAATCGCTTAGAAATAGCAAAGTATTTTGTGAAAAAAAGCAGTTTGAGGTTTAACCCTTTCGGGCTTAAAAGTCAGAATAATATTTCATCCCGAAAGAATTAAAGGCAAAAATGAAGATTTCTTAACAGGCAAAAAACATCCTTTAGCATGTGTGTCTTCAGTAGATGCATTCGGATGAAAGCAAAAATCTATGAAATGATACTGAAACGACTGGGCTTAGCAAAAACACGGCGGAACTTACGGGAAACGTTGAAATTAATATAATCGCTGGATACACCGCGGCTCGTTTGGATCTGACAGATGTATCTTCCGCTGTCTTCCGGTTTCACTTGCGTCAGCTCCAAGTAATCTTCTCCGATTCGCGCGTTGGCCGGCAAGCGTTGCCCCTCTCGGCTCCAATGGATCCTCGCATGATCGCGCATTTCGCAACGTAAGCGTACAGAATTACCGGCATTAGTTACCACGTCTCTTTGCTCAGCGCGGATTCTTGCGTTGTCGTAAGAATGTTCTGTAAATCGTAAATGTTTGTAGTTCGCTGTTCCTCCGAACAATGAAACATTTAATAAACGCATTTTATGCATGGTGAATATTTATATCGTTTTGTTTTTAGCAAATATTGAAAAATTATATTTTTACACTAAAATTTATATTTTTTTATGTTTCATATTAAAATGCAATTTTTTCTAAGATATGTAATTGCGTTATAGATTGTTTCTTTTAAAGATTCTTTTAGTACTAAATGAATCTTTTACACATTCAAATGTAATTATTTAAGAGAAAATGAAAGAAAAATTTTATATACTAATTATTGTGGGTTTAAAAGATCTAACTGATTATCAACTAACCGTTAACTAAAACTTCCGCTACCGCTTCCGCCGTTCCTACTGGGTTCGTTGCTTTACACACATATTTGCCAGCGTCGGAATATGTGATGCCGCGGAATTGCAGAATGCCGCCGCTGTGCGATACAGAATACGGCAACTGGCGTCCTATACCTTCCCACTCGATGTGCAGGGGTTCGTCTCCCGTGGCCGTGCAAATTATGGATGGATTTTCCCCAGGTCCCACTGTTTGACGCGTGGGATTTAATTCGATTCTTGGCGGAGCTAGAAGAGAATCGAGCAAAAAAAAGATTAATCAACTCCTATTCGCGGTTTCTGTTAAAAAAACTTGCAAAGAAAAATCGAACTTAAATGCACTGATTTTATAAATTAAAAATCTTGCAGTTTCATTAATTTGACACGTCTTCTACTCACATATAACTTCAAGATGAGCTTTCGCTCGGAAGAGCACGGTGTTGGCAGGATCCAAGCCCAAGCAGATGTATTCTCCAGCCGCGCTTCTGTCAACTGTTGGGATACTTAACACTCCGTTGTGCACTGTGCTGCCTTCCGGGAGGGGATGATAATCGCTTCTCTTCCAGTCCAGGTAGATGTGCTCTCCATCCGGTCCGAATACCTGACAGCGCAGCTCCACTTTGCCGCCGTTCGCGATTCTCAAGTAGTCTTTGGGGATCAATACACCTCCCCCTGTTTGGTTCGGGTCTCTCTGTAAATATGCTTTTAATTAAAAACGTGTCACTGTATTAAAGATACGACGACAGAATTATAGTACGTACAGATTCCGGTCGCTGTCGATCGTCGTCGCATGGAATATCGCCTCTGTCGCCAGTGCAAGGCACGTAATCGTCATCGTCCTCGATGCGGATGTGGACACGCTCCTCAGCTATTCCTACGGCGTTCGTGGCTTGGCAAGTGTAGGACCCTTCGTCGTCGGGTGAAACAGAGAATATCTCGTAAACGGCGCTCAAGGGAGCAGCCGCTGCTCTGCTATACGTGTCACTGTAAATCATGATAATATTACAAAATTATTATGTGACTCTTTTTAGCAATGTAATTACAATTGTTAGAATCAAATTAAATAGTAATTTAAGCTCAATTTTAAACGCTTAATAATATTATAATTTATAATATAATTTACATATATAGAGCAATAAAATTTGCCGTCTAGACATTACAGAATTGCACTTGAATAATGTAAAGCTTTTAAAATTGTGTTAAAAATAATTAAAAATTAATTCCCACAATTGTTATTATAAGCGCACGAGGCTGTACGATAATTATAATAGGTCCAGAGCATTGTGTAACGATAATAAAGTCGACTTACTGTACAGTTATTCCGTTCACGTGTTTGCTCCAAGCCACATTGGGTTGCGGATGACCGTTTGCGCTGCACATCAAACGGACTCGGCTTCCGCGCTTCACCTGCAAGACACCGTGCTTCGGAGTGATGGTGATCACAGGCATGGACTGCACCTCGATATGCGCGAGGACCGACGTCGAGCCGACTTCGTTCGACGCGGAACAGATGTAGGCGCCGCCGTCGTTCATCGTGATATTCGACAGTCTGAGGAGCCCGTCAGGCAGCTGCTCGATGTTGGAGGCGAATGGTCGATTGTCCTGGCGAGACCACTGCAACTCGGGCATCGGGAAACCGGCCGTCGCGCGACACAGAAGATCGGCGGAACCGCCGAGGATGACCGTTTGTACATCTTGCGGATACAGCTGTAAGACTGGAGCTTCGCGAGCTGCAATAAACAGACGATTCGATTTTGCAGAATTAAGAATAGTAAAGACAAATTGGAACAAAAATTAATTTCTCATGTCGACAAATAAGAAATTTGATAAAAAATTTTTTAATCTATATACATAGTTCAAATATTTTTAAGCTCTTTTTGCTTAGTCATCCAAATATAGATTATAGATAATATATAAATATAAATATATATAAATTCATAAGCGAATTTTTTTTTTAAATACTACGAGCTTACGTTCAACTTCGATGATGGCACTGGCCTCGTAACTTATACCCGCGGGACTGGTTACCCGACACATGTACACTCCTCGATCGGAGACCTGGGCGTTAATGATCTTGAGCGTGTCCCCTACTTGCTGGACGTTGGAACTCATCTGTTCTGAGTACTTGCTCCATTTCACCTGTAGACCTGGCTCGCCGCTGGTGATGCATCGCACCTCGGCCACCGTGCCCTGCGACACCTCCTGCCGTTCCGGTCTGACCTTGACCGACAGATGCTCTCTGCGGGGCACTATCGTTATCTTGGCGGTGGTGCTCGTCTCCGTTCCGCGTACGCTCGTCGCGGTGCACACGTATATGCCGGAATCGTTGGGAGTGGGATTGGTGATCGTCAAGACACCGTCGCGCTGACTGGCGGTATAAGGCAACGGCAAACCGCCGGATCTCGTCCAGGTGATGTTCGCGTACTGAGACGGCGTGCAGATTAGCCTGACGACGTCTCCGCTGGTGCCGGACCACTCGGATGGTGTTACGGTCGGCGGTAAACCTTGAGGCGGTGGTTTGTCAGGATTGTCTGTAACGCAGAACGAAGTCTTCATTCAAATAAAGCACGGAAGCGTGTAAGTCTCAGATTAACATTATCAACAGTAATTGCGGTATAATCTGTAATGGTTTGGGATTTGAATTTCGTCGACGTTCGAGATAGTTGAATACTTGGGCCGTATACCTTTAACGTATAGGATCGTCGTTCTCTCGTCCAAGCCAATGTTGTTCACAGCGACGCACTTGTACTCGGCTGCGTCGTTCTTCGACGCGGCCGGAAGGTTCCACACGCCGTTGTAGAAAGTCGCCTCCGGGCTCATGGTGCCGTGAACTCGTATCCAATCCAGTTGGGGTGGCGGATTACCGCTGGCTTCGCAACGGAACTCGACCGGTTCGCCTTCCTTCACCTCCTTGTACGATGGACTTATAACGACTCTAGGCGGGACCGGGTGGGTTCCTTAAAGAAGACGTACAAAATTACGTTTCTGTTTCACAAATTGACACGGTTGTGATTTATACCTGGTATTTCCAGCAAGTGTTTTGGAAACGCTGCATCCGGTAATACAATGTGTAAGAATTAAATAATACGTAACGTTGATAAATTTATTAATCTGTTCTACTCTAATTCATTTCTTAACAATTATAATAAAATATAAGAAGATTATATTGAGCTTGATGTGTAATACAATTAAAATTAATTTATTCTTGCGTTGTACCTCCAACAGTCAACGTGACTTTCTTATATCCGATGTTTATTCCATCGCTCACTTGGCAGACGTATATGCCACTGTCAGACACCTTCACATCCGTAATGACCAACAGTCCTTTCGAGTCATCCACTATCCTTCCATCAAGAGGAAATTGGTCACCCTCTTTCTCCCATCTAATGTGCACCGAATCCTATTTTCAATCATAGAACAAGGATTACAATTACCCACAAGAGGATTTCTAAAGTCGAATCAATGAATCGGACTTACGTTCCGATCCATGGATGTGGCCGAGCAGTGATATCGAACCATATTTCCGATCTGGACGATTTGGAATTCCGGTTCCTGTATGTAAATTGTGATCCTCGGTGGATATATTACCGGTGGGCCCTGTGTAGTTGTCTCTCCAACTGTGAGGAAAATAAAAGCAAAATTAATGTAAAAATAAATGCGATTTCCTACGCCAGTTTTCTTTTGCGCGATCGTAAAACTGCAAGATTTAACGATAAAACGGTATGACGGTATAACGGACAGAGACAATGTGGACGATTATTGAATCTTGCAATCTTCTGCTGAATGCAATGAATAAGCGACATTTGTCCAGTGACACAGAGATGCAACCACCATCACACTTTGACGAGACATCATTACAATGACGGTTATTTCGAAGAATGATACACTTGTATTAATTGCTATGGTGTACACATATTATACTGTACGACCAGAGGACGTCCGTGATACTGAATACCATGTATACCAGGGAAGAAGCCAAGCTTTCCCGCAAATACTAATCCTGCGAAAAACTACGGAACCATGGATAAGGATTACAATCCCCGAGAGAGTGCCTTCACCAGACTCGGTGACGATCTACGATGATGAACTACGATGACCTGGCGACAACGTAGACATGGTCGCGAAATGATGATCCGAGCGCTCGCCCTTTGCCATGAATCACCGGATGGACGGACAAGATGTGAAAGCACTCGTTTATGTAGTCCGTCTCAAACCTGGCGTAATCGACGTCACGATTTTGACCAGTTCTTTGCCGCGGTCATTCACGATGTGGCACTCCACGTTGCAGGGGGTGCGCCCGACGTGAACGAACCAAGTGCGAACAGCTCCTTTCTCCGTCTTCATTATCGGGCCGATTTTGCCGCCCCGTGCGTCGGTTATGGGAAATCCGTCGAGTGACGACAATTTAAAATAGATGTGAAACTTGTCTGGATAGTCATAGTTGCACGTAAATTGGATCGTGGAGTACGGCTCGACTTCGCCGCTCATCGGCTTTAGGCTTACCATGAGCTCACCTGACCAACGTATCGTTATTACTATTATTTTGGATTTAAAAGAGTTCAAAAGATTTTCTTTACTGTAATCTCGAAAGAAAGAATCCTGCTTTCTCTCTCACGCTTACAAAAATATATTCTAACATAATAAATTGGATAACTTGACTTCCTGGATTATTTTCTTTTTGTCAATAATATAGTGTGATTTATATAGATCTGCGCTATATAAAATATAATTTGATTTATCAATCGCTTTTTTTATCAAGATCGTCTTCATATTTTTAAACAAAAGTAATTGGAAACACTAATATTATTAATTTAATTAGCTTATAATTTAATGCATATCTTGAGTATTAAGAAGCGCTATTGCTTACCGACACCACTGTCTTGGCAATACTCTCCCGTGTATCCCGGCAGGCAGTAGCACTTGATGTGACCGGATCTGCTGATCTCGCAGCTCTCCTCGTTCTTGTTGCACGGACAGAGATTACACGCGCCCAGATAACTGACGGTCCGGTCGCTGGTGTCTCTGTAATAACCGCGAGCGCAGGTTTCGCAGGAGGTGCCCGTGTAACCGGTCGGGCAACGACAAGCCTCAACCTGAGTCGCTCGTTGGTTTTGAATCAGATTCTCCACGGCCGTGTCCATGCTGATGTCGCTGATGTACGTTGCGGTCATTTGCTCGCTGTGAGACGCGCGGACCAGGATGGCTTCCAGATTGGAAAGTACGATCATGAGATCCGTCCTGGAAGCGCTGCGCGGTCCCTCGATGGTCATTCGTTTCCATTCGTGCTCTTTCAACGGAACGGAGTAGGTCTGTGAAAGATGTACACGTGTCGTCTTTATAATTGCGAAACGTTTGGATTTCAAATTAATTTCTATAGATGCTTTATTTAATAAAATATGATAAATAATGAAATATATATATTGAATAATAGCTTTCAATTAAAAAAGGCGTAAAGAGATTGAATTAAAATAATTTCTATCTAGTAAGAAAATATTTTGTCAAGTATAACTATTAAATATGTGAGTTTTTCAATTTCCCGTAATGTTATGAAATATATCGGATAGATTCCATCCTATTCTACATACCAGCGGAATCTCGGGTTGAAGTTGCACTGGATTTGTCCAGAATAATGTGATGCCGTTGCCAATCAAGAGAACGTCTTGATCCATGTAACTCTGAGCGCCAGGATACGCGGTGATATGCTGCGTCAGAGTCAAGTTCCCGCCGTAACTCTTTACTTTGTTACCAGTAAAGACGCTCGGCAGCGACCAGAACAATCTGCGGCTTCTACTGTCCTTAAAGCGGTAACCGATCTCACTCGTTCCCGTATTTACCACGAAATCGGAGTTGATTACGTCGCGTCTACTCCTACATAAGAGCATTAGATCGATCAATTAAAAATATTAATTTTCTTCGATAATATACATACATGTGTAGATTTTCTTATATATAAATTGTTCTAAAAAATGCTATTTTTATCAGTAAAAAAAAAACAGAGAAAAAATGATTCATCATATGCTTGTATTAATTTAAAGAGAGCTACTTGGAAAAAAATGAAGTGCGTGTACTTACGAGTCCGTGAGAGTGAAGCCGTGATGTGATTCGTATAACAACGTCGGTATTTCCTCTACGTACAATGTGCTCTCGTGACATTGATCAGTCACTCCGCTGCAATAACACTCGATGCATCCATCAATGTTCTCAGCACGTAATCCGTATGTCGACGGGCGGCATCGATTACATTGTGGACCCTCGACGTTCCTTTTGCATTCGCATCGACCGTCGAAGCAAGAAGTGCTGCGTGAACCAGCCTCGTCACATCTGCATGGCTCGGGTCTTGGATTTCTATACGTGCAATCGTTCGGGGTGCCTCGAGTGGCGTCCCCTTCGTATCCCGGTTCGCACAGCTCGCAGAACTCGCCCGTGGTGTGATGATCGCAATACTATCGAAGTAAGGGTATCAATTTTTCAGTGGGTTCTCAAATTCTTCTGAGAATTCATATATATTTACATAGTTATATATTTATATAACTTTCGTTAACTTGAATTTTAATTAACTTAAGCTTCAATTTTTATATTTTATAACTTGATGCCAAATATAAAACTGACATTTTAGAAAAAATACTGCCTTTAAATTATTAAGCAATTATTAATGCAACATAGCTATTTTAATAAAGTTTATTAAATTTAAATTATCTTTTTTAAAAAGAAGAATTTAATTATATTAGTACAACGTGATGTCGTCGCTCGATTAAAATTGCTTTTATTTTTACCTTACAAGTGCCAGTTTCGGGCTCGCACTGACTCGAGTGATTATTGCAGTTGCACGGCTCGCAGATGCCTAAGTAAAGTCCTTCGATGGCACGGGTGTAACCAACGTCGCAATCCTCGCATGAAAGTCCTTTGTAGCCGGCGGGGCAAATACACTCTTCAACTTCGACCGCGCGAGCTTTACCTGTGTTAGATTTTTCGGCGGTGTCCAAAGACACGGAGGACAGCCTGAAATATACACAATATCGCCTGTTAAATCGCGATAATGTTCAAACTCAAATTTTTTTACGCAACCTTGCTTTAGTTTTATTTTAATTGAATATCAATCAAATTCCCTTACATATTTATTTTACTTGGTCATATATTTATAAAATTTTAATTAACTCAGATTTAATTAACTTAGTTTTTATTTTCATATTTTATAACTTGATACCAAATATAAAACTGACATTTTAGAAAAATACTGCATCACAACTTTATTTTAAATTGGATTATTATTTTAAATTAAATCGGAAATTTTATCCATCTATTTTATAAATATTTTTATAGTCCTTCAAGAAGCTTAGGCAAATCGTTTCTTGTTTATATTGTCGGAATTATATAAGATATGGTAATATCAGGAATCCGCGAAGCACTTACGCCGCTTCGTCTGTATGCGTCGTGTAAGTGGCTTTGATTCTGATGGCTCGCACATCGGCTAAGGCCATTAGAAGATGCTCCCTGTCCGCTTGAGTACCGTCATTACGTTGCCAGTATTGCTCGAGCAGCGGCACGGTGAACGATTGCTGGGAGTTAGGCTCGGGAGACTCGTGGGAGTAGTAAAGCAAGTTGATGTCGTTAGCCTGTGTGCATTTTAAGTCATCCTGTTATAATGTCTTCATCGTCAAGTGCGCGGATTAAGGCTCGCGAATGTGCACTCACGCTAATGAGTTCGACGTCCGCGGCGTTGTTCCTTGAACTCTGACCGCCCGGAGAGGGCACGTATCTGACGATGTACTTGAGATTGCCACCGTAAGATGTTATTTGATCGCCTAAGAAAATGCTAGGCAATTGCCAATAGTAGACGTCATTGTTCCCACGATTGGGAAAATCTCTGTAGACTATTTCCCGGCTGATGGCGTTCAGATGAATTCCCTCTACAATGTCCGATGTGTCAGTGCTCTTGGATTCGATCAGGGAGAAGCCTCGAATCGAGTTGGTAAACGATACACGAATCTGCGAATCAATTTAAGCTTTTATTTTAATTGATAATTTATATTTCTATAAAAGTTATACAAAAAAAGCAGACGATTCCATTATTTGTATTAGAAATATAGAAATCTTTTTTACGTAGTTTCTCTGTTTGCAGACCTCTTTTGATTTATACATAAAGATGAAAATCAATGCGATATTTTTGTCGTACCTCGTTTCTGTACCAGTTAGAAGAGACGCATCTATTGGTGATGCCCATGCAGAAGCAACCTATGCATCCAAACTGATTTGTCGAGGCCAGATTGTAGGTATTCGCCTTACATTGGTTGCAAGTGAGACCCGTTGCGTATTGCTGAAAAAGGAAATATTAGAGAATAGACGGCGCTTCTCGACCGCGACGTTGTACCGCTCACTTTTATCCTGAATTTATATCGATTTACATATGTCTACATACGTGAAAGAACTGTAAAATATACTTACATTTTTTTAAATTAAAAGGAATCCACGGAAGATGGATGCAAGAACAACAATATAAAATCGTTACGCGAGGTGTTCGGAAAATTGCGCAATTTATCTCGCATAGATTTTTTTGATAGAAAGCGGTTTATTTATAGAAAAGAATCTTTTTTTTAGAGATTGCGTGGTCGAGAAAAAAATGCGCAATTTCCGAGGCCGATGTGCACCCTGTACAAAATTACGCCTATGTAGGAATAGGCAACGGTAATAATTATATCGGTATACCTTGCAATGGCACTTTCCGGTCTGTGGATCGGCGTTAGAACTGAGGCTGCCGTTGGGGTCACATTGCTGAAGCGGGACGCACATATCTCCGGGAATAAGGGGATTCCCTTGGTAACCGGCAGCACACTGCTCGCACCTGCGACCAACGTAGCCGGGAGGGCAGTCACACGTGGGTTGACCGTCGGAACCAAGATGACACGTGCGAGCGAATCTATTTATAATCGCGATAAATTGTGAAAGTGCTCTGAATTAAAATATCGCTAATGTAAGTTTAAACTTATTCGCGTTCTTACTGGTTCGACGGGTTGGTAAGCGGGCAAGGACAGATCTGGCAGGGGATGTTTCTTGAGGGATCGCCGTAGTATCCCGGAGGGCACGGTGGTTCGTCCCTGTAACACTGGCCAAGCCACGGACCGCTTTCGCGTCTCAGATAACCAGGCGCGCAATGCTCGCAAGACAGACCAGTGTATCCTTGAAGGCGATTAAGATTTAATAAAACGAAATTAATAAAACGAATTTTGCTACGCGATCTGATTGATTGTCAAAGAAGTATGTACCGGTAGGACATTGACATTCCTCGACGAAGGACGCGGATCCTAGACCGGTGTTTCGCACGTCGGCGGTGTCCACAACGATGTTGGTGAGGCGAACGTCCAGCTGCGGCGAGTCGTCGTATTTCACTCTGCAACACATCGAACGTAAAAAAAATTGTTCTGATCTTGTCGCGGTCAGTGACAGGATCTCGGGCTTCAGTGCCTACTTTATAAGAATGTTGTCCACGTTCGCCAACGTCATCATGATCTCCTCTCTGGACGCCAGGATCTCGCTTCTCCCTTGCTGCTTGTACCAGTCGCCGTAGAAGAACCTGACCGTTCTCTCATTCTCGTAGTCCGCTGTTGGCTCTTCACCCTTGTGCACCAGGACGTAATTATTGCCGCTCAAGATGACGGAGGGCGCGCGGTTTGGTGTGCCGCTACCGCTGTAGCGGATCGAGTATCTCAAGTAGCCGCCGTAGGACTTCAATTGGCTGCCGTGATAATTCTCCGGCAGCGCGAAGTAGGGAACGTTGTAGACGTTCAGGTCGTTGCTGAAGGACTCCAGCAGCTGAACGCCGTCCCGGCCGAGGGGGCGGATGGTTGCCTGATTGCTGATGTCGCCGTGGATCCTGATCGTCGGCACGGTCTCGACCGACACGATCTTCTGGCGGTCGAACGGCGGCGGGATCTGGTAAGTGAAGAGATCGGCGCTGCGGCACTCGGTGGCGACGCCGAAGCAGAAGCACGAGATACACTCCTCGGCGGTCCTCGCCTCGGAATTGAATTTGCCCCTGGGGCATACGTTGCCGCCGTCCTTCACGACGACGATGGCGTCCGGCACGGCGAAGACGAAGCCTCCGACGTTCAACGCCTCGCACGAGTACGCGCCCTGGTCCTCCATCTGTATGTCCGGACACGTCAGCGTGCCCGTACCGTTGGTGGACACGATCGTACACTTCGCGGGAACGTGCCCCCAATTGAGACGCCAGTTGATTTCCGGTATGGGAACACCGATCGCCGTGCAGGTGAGGACCAGCATGTCGCCCGGCATGAGGACGACCATCGGCGAGGGAGGTTTCACGATGTAAACCGGAGCTGCAAGGAGAAATAAATCAGACATTGTTAATAATTACAGCCAACAATAGTGACATTTCATTATATTTTTAATTGTCAGTGAGATAACAGGAAAATTTTCTCCAGAATAGAAAAGTCGTATATTTTAAATCTCAATTTCAAAACTTAAAACAAATAACAATACATATTAAGGGGGTCTTCTACTTTGAAGGCCTTTTTTTTCGTCGTTTTTTAGGATTTTTTTTGAGGAATCATGAAAACATACTATATCGGGACTTTTATATCATATTTATTAACATTGGAAGTATGGAAAAAATAATTTTTTTTCTAAACTTTGCAAAATATACAATTTTCAATATTTTCGTTAGTTTTTGGTACCAAAGCTAGCCACACATTCATAGATTAAAATGCTATTTTGTTTTTTTGTTTCAGATTAACTGGTGAACTGCAATCATGGGCGCCATCCGACAACTTTTTTTTTAGATACATGCCATTATCGCTCTGTTACAACGCATTCTTGTCGATATTTTATTTTGAAAAAATTATCAAACATACTTCCAATGTTAATAAATATGATATAAAAGTCCCGATATAGTATGTTTTCATGATTCCTCAAAAAAAAAATCCTAAAAAACGACGAAAAAAAAAGGACCTTCAAAGTAGAAGACGCCCTTAATAAAATAGTAAAATGTAAAATATTCATCGTGTGCGACTTCAGAAAGACAATTGATGATTTCAGAGTGCCTGACTGTTTCATGAAAGTTATATAGCTACTATTCAACTTTAATTTATCCGATACGAAGGTCGCCAGACGATTGGCGACATTGACGCTTCGCGCTCATGAAACTCCCATCGATACTAACAGCATCCAAGCTCGTCGCTGCCGTCCAAGCAGTCGCGCTCCATGTCGCAGTGGTAGCTCTTCGGGATGCACTGCTTATTGCTGCTGCAGGCGAACTCGTTGTAACGGCACGGAGATCCCGGGGGAGACGGCGCGCAGTTCTCCTCGTCGCTGTTGTCCGCGCAGTCCTTGTCGCCGTCGCAACGCCACAACTTGCTAACGCACTGCTTATTATTGCAGCGGAACTGGTTGGGCTCGCATCCGTGCGGACCTGTCGAAAACGGACGTGCGAAACGCTCGCGTGAAATTTCGCACCATAAAGTATGAACGCCCGATAAAGCCAGCCTTTTTCGCTGGCACACCTGTCATACTTACTGCACCGCATCTCGTCGGATCCGTCGGTGCAGTCGAATTTGCCATCGCAGACGTACGATTTGGGAATACAGTCGCCGTTGCTGCAGGTAGCCTGATCGTACTGGCACACTTGCGGCGGTCTGGTGGCCGGCTGCTCGACTGTATGGACAATCAATTTGATATTACAGGGGGTCTTCAGTCATTGAGACAGATTTTGAATTTATTGTTAGCGGTTCTCCGCGCGCGGTTGTATCTCATCGCGAATAAATTTCTCGATCGCGTATAGCTCTAAATCGGAGAGGGCAGGATGGAAGAACGTACATTTCTCGACGTTAAGAATGACGGTCAATTGCCGGCCCGGGGTGGACGGTGGATAACCCACGGCTTCGCAGATGTAGGTTCCGCCGTGCTCGAGCTGGATGTTGGGTATCTCCAGGCGACCATTGATGTCCCGGCTGCCGGGCGGCAGAGGAAGGCCGTTGCCGCGAATCCAACGTACTCTCGCACGTAGAAGACCCTCGTCACGGCATTGGAACACGACCTCGCGACCTGATCGGAACGGTTTTGCATGATATAAATTCCGGTCGGTGAGAGATTGCGGCCTTTACGGATTATTACGTCAAACGTCCCGTCAGTGAGTGGTCGGTAATTAGCAAGCGGATTTCCCCGTTTCTCTTAAATTGAGATGACACTGACGACGTGTTAGTTCAGTTCACGTGCAACACTTCAGTTCTTTTTTAATCGTGTTACTCGATGCGCTGCTTGCATGTAGTAAAAACATTTTATGTGCATCCGGCATAATGAAATCGAGACTTTTCGAGTCAATTAGTGCCAATAGAGTTCTTTTAAATCAAAAATATATAATAATCAGGATTAGACATCAGTAGTTATTTTTGTATATGATTTTATAGTCCAAAATTTGCATTCTATTTTAAGTTCTGAACGACATGAGCTTCATCATGCATAATTAAACATTCGCATGCATGGCTTCGAACGATATTATTAATGAAGTTTTCGGTTATTGATTTAATTGTATAAAAGTTGCATTTTTTATATAAATAAAAACAGATTTTTAATTTAATTTTATAATTGCGATATATGTGTATATCTGTAAAACGAAATTATATTTAGTCGGACATGAAATTATATTTATTAATCAACAAATTTATCGAAAGTTTTGAAGATCGATTCTATTGCTTATTTTGCTTAAAGAAACGTTTGCAACAGAAGATCCATAAAAAGCGAGAATGCATATACATGTATATGTACATACAGACACCTATAACTGAAATACATATTTCCAACTTTGCACATCTAATGATTCATGAAGATTATTTTAGCCCACAGCATGATTTGTAGCTGATATTCTTTTTTAAAGTCTTACCTTGCTTCGCCGGGTCTGGCCAAGGCAAGAAAAAAAATAACAGATATATTCATTAATAAATTTTCTTTTGGGATACCCTAATTCGTCGGCAACGCGGCACTTGTTGCTTATTATTATTATTATTATTATTATTATTATTATTACCTATTGTGTTAATTTTTCTAGAGATACTTAAGATGTTCAATTATTGAGATATTTTAGTCAGATGAATAACTATACAAAAATCGAAGTTGCAACAAATGCATATACAACATATCATCAAATCCGTACACGGCTTAACGAGAACGATGATACTTACTTTCTTTAATCACTTGTTCACTCGGATACGTCTTCAGCCTTAGGTCGGATGTTCCATGGGTATCTGCGCACGAACGAAAGTAATAAGTAGTCGTAAAAAAAAAAAAAACGCTAATAGAAACATGATTAAATTGATTAATAAATGTATGTACAGAATCAACGTTGCGTTATCAACTTTGTTAATTTGAGATTTCTACCCGGCACCTTTCTGCACCTTTTTCATCTACAGGCGGAAATGCAATCCTATATTTTAGTTCAGTTATTAATTCCTTTTAGAAAATATGATACACAGTGCGATGTGTGTCTACTGCTATGGTCTACTATATGCATGGTCGCGAAAAATCGAGAGAGACCACCTCGCTCGTATTAAATTTATCATAAAATAGGTACTTGTTATTCTCAGATTAAAAGTGTATATATTATTGGGTAAAGGCGGAAATTGTAATTCAAATGATGGGAAATACAATACAGACTCATTGGCTTGTATCTCATCCGCTGGAAACGTGGATAATAAATACCTTTTAGTGTTACATAAAACATTACGGTATTATGTTACGGTATTATGTTACGGTGTCATGGATATTTACAAGGTATTATTGATTAGCGCATGGCGTGTTATCGGCCGGCCGTGCGGTCCCCTTTTTTCCCGAAGGCAGCTCCGGATGACTAACTACAGAGGGGGGGCGGGGCGGGGGAGACTCACAATTATCATAACTGCAATCCATCTCATCGGACATGTCTCTAGGACAGTCGAGCCTTTTGTCGCACCGCTGATGCAGCGGGATGCAATGGCCGTCATTGCACATCCATTCGTGCGCGCTGCACCTACTGTGATTTCTTTGCATCGGCCTATAGTGACAGCCCAACTCGTCGCTGTCGTCGTACGGGCAATCGATCCGGCGATCGCAACGTTGATGGTGAGGTATACAATCGCCGCTCTTACAGCTCCACTCCCCGTACGAGCATACCGTATTGGAAGCTTCAGTTTCGTCGTTAAACTCATGTCATTATGCTGCGTCTTCGCAGAGTTACTTAGACTATCTCGATTAAGCGAGTAAATTATGAAACCGCGCGTCGTCAATTATTAACTCTTATTTTACTCACGCGAGAATTCGAAGTAATAGAATAGCGATCTCGATCTCGTCTATCATTTTATTGTCGATTTAATGTGCATTTATATACACATTTATATACGCGAGAATTGTTTTGTTGAATTAAATATGCGTTAATTAACTTACCGCAATTATATTCATCGGATCCATCTCGGCATTCTGGAATTCCGTTACACACGGAGGATATTGGGACGCATCTTCTATCCAAAATGCACATATATTGATCCGTAGCACATTGACCTGACGGTGACGGCTCTGGCGGTCCTAATAAAGCAGAAGTAAGTAAAGATATGAGAGAGAATTTAATTAGATTCAAAGTTGAACAGGATTTTGAGAAATAAATTTAAATAACTGTATATTGAACTGTCGTCCCGGAGATTACAATTCTACAGTTTATAAATTATTCGAAAGTTACGTCAAATTATACTAATCTGCACGTTCAGTTGTATATCTTTCATTTTATTATTTATTATTCATTTCTTGATTGACGCACGAATATATATATATATGTATATTTAATTCTTAATTGACGTTGCTGATTCTTAATTGAGTTGCTGATTATTCCTTCATGCTCACCGCACTCCTCCGGTTCGTCGGAACCGTCGGCGCACTCGATGACTCCGTTGCATCTCTGATCGGCGCGAATGCAATCTCCGTTGGCGCACTGGAACTGGTCCCGCGTGCATCCTAAAATAAGAGCTCGCATTGTACGTTAACGAGACAACCGTGAGTCGTTGATCCGTTAAAAGAAACGATGAGACACAGATACATGTAAAATGTCAGCCATGGTGCCATCATATGTCCGTCATTACAATCTAAACAATGATCTAACGTCGAAATATAAATACGATGGAGGTAAAGATTTCATTACCTAGAAAAGACTGTTAAAACGTAAATCTAGAACAGAGCTGTCTGACTGAGTGTTCTTTTTTTCTCGTTCCCCCTTTTTTTTTCATCGGTTTGCCGTCACCAATTTAGACAGCTTTGGTCTAGAATCTAGATCAAATATATTGGGAATCAGTTCATACAGCACATAAATCGGTAAGCCGATTGCAACGTATCTCCATCGCGTTTTATTTAGTTTTCTAAACTGTATGTACTGATTGCAGTACATCTACGAACACTTATATAATATAATTCGTCATTCAATGTAACTTCAATATAGACTCAGGAGGAAAGACATAATCCCTTAATTTACGTACGATTTTCGACCGATACAATACACGATTACTATATTAAATAGTCAAATATTAATTTTATAATTCAGTTTTTTTGTTAGCGAAATATAATGCACAAAAATGTATAATACTTAGGTAAAAATGTGCTTTCCTCGTGCTATGCATGCCAAATAGGATTTATGCCAAACGTTCTACCTACGAGAAAAATAAACGATCTAAATTTTACGTCAGGCAGAGATGCACTATTATTTATAAAGATGCGCCGGGTAATATATAAGACTGCGATTATAAATTTCAGAAATATATAATCAAGTCTCTACTGGAACAACCTACACATCTTCTATTCAGCTGCTAACACAGATTGGCAGAAAAGAACATAGATCTAAGAGAATCTGGTGCTTTCAACGATATACTTCAGAATATCCCGCGGATTGAAACTGTGACATTATTCGAAAAGACGGGGATAAGATTGAATTAAATTATATATAACTTCACTTTTGAAGAAAAATGACGCAAACATTTATTCAAAAATTAAATTATATTATCGGAAATACTTATTAAAGAATAAAAATTAGTAAATCAGAAAGAAAAAGGGAAAGAGAGAGAAACGAAACCATAATACTGAAGAATACTAGAAATATAATCATTAGAAATTATATAAAAGAATTAACTTTCTTTTCATCAAATTTTTAACGTTATTCTCGCAGTGGTAACGAAATAAAGTCGTAAAAACATGAAGGATTATTTGTATGTCAGGTAACAGATATCGACGTACGAATAACTTCTTCTCCGTAAACGCGAATTTTATCGATAAAATACTGTCGGGATGAGAACGGAAGCGCGCGAGACTTCGATGCGGGGTGCGTGCGTGTCACCAGATTTTCGAGATCTACAAATAATCTAACCGAAGCAGTACTGTTCGTCGGTAAAGTCGCGGCAATCGTAGAAATGGTCGCAGTGGTGGGTTTCGGGGATGCAAGTGCCGTCGGCGCAAACAAAATCATCCGGAGCACAACTCCTCGGCGTGCTCAGATTTGTCGGCGGCACATCAGCATTTGCATTTGTGTCTGGGCTGTAAGCCTCGTTATCCGGATTCACACCGGCTACCACCCCCGGCGTCTCCGGACGCCCCCCGGAGGAGGCACTATCCGAGGCGTCTACACCTAGAAGTAACTCAATCTGAGCTGCGGTGTTTCTCGTGGAAACGCGTCGTTGATGATATTGGGCGACGCGCGGCCGCAACTGATATAGTTACGCCGTACGCCCGAAAATCTCGAGGGAAGTCCTATACCTCTTTGCCGTACGACCGTACGCATAATCAGGACTTAAAGCGAGTCCGGATGTAACAAAGTAGGCCTGAGAGACAAGCACGCGATTGTGCCTTGTGTGTCGCCTCCATTCATATCTCACTCATATCATCTTTCCTCGGGCTTAATCTCAGAATATTTATTTACACTGACGATTTTTTTGAGAGGCGAGTCTATGCTGGCGACTCATAAGGAGCTTACTATTAAAATAATAACTTGCTCGTTGCGCGAAGTGGAACTGTGGGTTTATTAATTTTAAACCACGGCCAAGAAAATATCCATTCGACACTATATGTATACATGGTAGTGACGTAAGGCTATAAATCGAGAAATAATAGGTCCGCGTCCTCGAATCGTGCTCCCAATCGTTGTTTTAAGTCCTGAATATACGAATACGCTCCGAAGGCTAAATCGTAACGCCTGAATTAACCAACGGGGGAGAGAGAATTCCGTATCCATCTTCTGAATATTTTTATCGATAGGGATCATTTCCCCCGGACCTAAATCAACGCAGCTCTTCGCGATGAAGACGCAGCGACGCAGGGATACGCCGCGAGCGCCGATTTCCGGAGGTTCTGACTTACCTCGGCGACAATTAATCTCGTCCTCGTCGTGACGACAATCCGCACGTCCGTCGCACACTGCAGCCCGAGGTATGCAGCTGCCGTCGTTGCAGGTGAAGCTGTCGTCGTGGCATTCTTGGCGTGAACCGCCGGTCTCGCCGCTGCCCGCTGCAAAATGGAACGACACGCGGTTTATCAAAGCAGTTTCTTGAATAAAAAAAATTCGCCGAAAGGACAAAAAGGAATTTTCTATAAACATCTGATTAATGAAAAGTCTTAATTAACACTCCAAGTTACAAAACATATTAGGGTATTTTAATTTAAAAAAAAAATATAACGGAGCACATAGGGTGTTTCGTGCATATTATAGAATCAATAGAATGTATATCGAATGTAACTCTTTCGGTGAAATAGCGAAAAATGCATCTATCTAAAGATATCCTTACGGCAATTCAGTTCGTCACTCTCGTCATGGCAGTCGATATTGCGGTCGCAGAAGAAGTTCTTATTGATACAGACGCCATTTGCGCAGGGTAGTTGACCGTCGGGGCATTCTGCAAAAACCAATCAACTCCGTTGAATGGCAAATAAGGGACGGAAGGGGCACAAACGATACGAGGAAGATCCTTTGTACGTGTGAGAAGCGGTACGAAGCGACAGTGTGCACGTTTGTTGCTAATAACAATCGTCCGCGGGCCGGCCGTTCTTGCCAGTCTCGCCAGGTCATCAAGCGAGGTCGCGAAGAATACCCTCGTGTGAGTCAGCCGGAAAAAAAAAAATTGCGAACGACTTCGATGTGCTGCGCGGCGCGCAACCCTCACCCCTTGCACGAAGGAAATTAGATGCGCGAGGCTGACCAAGTGCCTTCGATAATTATCGATCGATAAAGAGTCCCGCGAGAGAGGTGCTTCCCCCTGCGATGGACGAAGGGCGATAAAAGAGTGCGCCGGAGCGGCGCACTCGTCAAATAAGGGTATCTATCGTGCACATTGCCGCGTGTCGTACCTATTATCTCTAAGATAATACGGGGACGGGCGGCGCGATGCCGCGTGCACGCGCTCTCACCTCGGTTGATTAAAGCGAGAAAAGCCGAACGGGAAAGAGGAATTGTTGAAAAGGTCAATGGTTTTCACATTCCGGGGTCTGCAATTTCGCGCCACCATCGCTAAACCGTATGATAATCTGAGAAATTTATAATAATAACTCCCGCGTATAAATGTCGCTTCATTTTATATCAAACCGGTTTCGCGTGTGAGCCTTTCCACGGGGAAACGCGCGTGTGGCTTCTTTTTTTTTTTTATTTACACATATATTAATAAACAGGTTAAACTTAGTTTCTCAAACGTGGGAGAGAGGACCATCGCGCGCAAAACGTGACATTTACAAAAGTTCGCGTTACGTCAGTCGCGAGCTTTTACGCGCTGTACGCAACAGCAGAGCGCGGTTTGTGCACGCGTCAGCGCGCGGCATGGAAAATTGCGGAGACGTAAATAACCGGAGGTAAAAGGGTATATCAGAGAAACGTATATATACATATGCAATTTGTATACACTGATATATACATATACATATATAAATATATTTTATATATATATATATATATATAGATATGTATATATACAAGTAGATGCGCAATTCAAAGATCAGGCAACCTGTGTGCTGAAAATAGACGGAAAGTAAATAGACGTACAGATAGACAAGTAGAAAGACAGAGAGAAGAATAGATATAGAGTTAGTTTCGATCCCATCCATAATCGATGCAAAATGCATGTCAAGAAGAAGAGTCAGAGCGCGTAATCAAGATGTATGTTATGTACGCAAGTATGTTATTGAGTATCCAATATTCAAGATCCAGGCACAAACAGCTATATAGGAATCAAGACACAGTGAGATATAGGAGTGGCCTAATGAATGTAAGAAATATGATGAAGAATGAATCAGTCGTTTCTTAATTGCCATCTTATCCCTCGCGTCTTGTTGTTATATCTCATTGTGTCTCGACGCTAAAATGTAACAAGATACGTATATAATGCTAAAACATAGAAAGAGAAAATCGTTGAGATCACGTATCGAAAGAGACGAATCGAAAGGGATTAATTCGGGAATTTATTTCGAGAAATTGCAAATCTCCAAACTGCGAAAACGGGACTTGGCCTAATATCACTGTCTGAATTCTCGTGTTTCTATTTTCCTCTTTATTCTAGTCTGATTTAATTATTCATATTCTGTCAAAATGCAGCAATTTTCCAAAAAAAAATGACTTCTTTAATCCCAGCGAATATACGTTGATGCGTTTTAATTTTTATGTTTGCTACTTCAATTTCACCGCTAGGTCAGCATGCTAATAAAGAGGATTGGCAAAGAGTTCAAACACTTCGAAAACAACTCCCGTCCCGAAGTTCGGCGTCTTCGAGTTTCGCGAATGAATTCCCTCGAATTGATTTCGATTCGCTCGTCTTTGACAGGGTCGTTCCGGGGTGACTACGGCAAGTGGTGCCGCGACACGTCGGTATTCGAGTTAATGGCCAGTCAACGTCCGGCTAAAACGTGCTCAACGTGGTCGATACATGGCGACGAAATGAGATTAACAGCTTCCGCGTACGTGTGTACGCGCCCGTGCGCCCGTATTAGTTACACAGCCTCTTAATTGCCGACTTGAACACCGACGTGCGCGCGAAAAGTCGTTCGAGACGGGCCGCACCGTACGTCGTCGCCGTCGTCGCGCCCGTCGCGATCGCTGTCGCTGCAGTTGCAGCTGCAGAGAGCCCCTGCGTAGCCGTTTATATATAAATAAACGTTCTGCACGATTGACATCCCGCACATAAAGATTCGAAGAAATCGCTCGCGCATGACACTGCTGTCTTACTCAGAAAATCGACCGAGCGCGCGATTGGATCTCGAATGGGCTTCGCATGCTGCATCTCTCGCCGCGTCTTGTCTCGCCGCGTCTCGCGCAAGCGAAACGACGCGAAAGTTGGAGCACGCAAGCTACCCTTCGGAGACAGCGTCTGCGATTTTTGTCCCGCGATATAATGCACGCGGGGGAGTAGAAAAGCCAATTTCGACGAGAGAACGTTGATGAACGTAAGTTGATGAAGATAAAGAAAACGAAATAAAGATTTGAAATGAAAATAAGATCCAGTGCCGAGAAAAATAGAGAGGCAAGGTTGATGAGGAGGCGGCACTTGATCCTGTATATCTATTTCAAGTCTTTAAACACTGAAAACACATATCATTGAGCACCTCTTTTTAGTATAACACACGATGAAGTCACGCAAAACTGACTCACGGGCAAATGAATTAGCAATTGGTTGCATTCATTCACTGTTAATTCGCTAAGAATCATAATGCCCATAACAAGAATACCATACGTCGCAGGAAGTATTATGACCCACGATGAGAATGCTGATAGAAAATAGTTCAGAAGACAAGAGAGGAAGGGGGGAAGATAATGGAGAGAGATTGTGGAGAGAGAATAGAATAAATAGCGCATGGAGAAAAATTATCGCTTTCTGATACGTTTCTTAACTACAGAATTATCTATTTGAGCTATTTAAGATCTCATTAATTAATTGTATTATAGCGATAAGCTTTCTTCGTGCGGGCTATCATCGACATAAATAATGCGCTAAGAAGGATACAGACCTAAGCTACAAAATGCAAGAGATCCGATGAGATCTAAAAAAAAAAGAACTAACAAAAGTACAAAAAATCGTGATAAGTTATAACTTGCTCTCTAACTTGTAATGCAATGCAATCGAAGATACTGCTATGCTATTCAAATGGACGCTAAGAAGCAGCACCTAATGGAAACTACTATTAACTCGATTCCATGGCTTAGGTCTATATCGTCCTCGACAAGGATAATAAAGCTAAATTAAAAATCACTGTTACGAGAGCAATTGAACTCGTCGGAGCCGTCGAAGCAATGGGGCCGGCCATCGCAACGTCTCTTAATGTCGAGGCACACTCCGTCGTTGCAGCGAAACCACCCAGGCGGACATTCGGTTACTACAATAATTACCAAGTTCCATATTCGAGTATTATCGTGCATGCTGTCCATACGGGGGGGGGGGA